GATGCAGTACAACAAGTCATGCCAATTCTATATAAAGAATATCTGCACTTGCTCAAGCATCCATTCCTCACCCCATATTCCAGTTTTTCCCCCATACCTCATTCACTATAACCAATTGTCATCAGCCTGATCAGTTGACAGATTGTAGAGTGTGTGGTGATCACAAAAATCAATAGCAATCACAAGATCAGAATTTTTTGATTGGTAAATTTGTTGATTTCTTCTGGTTCCCTTTGTCAAGAGGTATTTCACTTGAATGATTAAAGGCAACAAAAACTGAGAAGAAAGTTTTGAAGTAAGACATTTGTTGCAGGAAGTGGAGCTATTGCTTATTTGATACAAAGCTGAACAAGATACCAACAACACAAATATAAATTCAAATTGTGAGACACAATCTGCAACAAAAGAATTACAATTTTAGTCAATTATCATTTGATTTAGGACAAGGTACACAGTCAATGTGGTATAATTGTAATAGTTCCTAGGTTAACCACTTCCACAATGACAAAATTGGTATTGGTTATTTGCATCATTGTTCAAATTCACAAAAAAAGACAAGAGCTTTGTTTTAATAGCAATGTACAGGTATACCAATTGGAATTCTGTTTTCAAAGGTGTTTTTGTGATTACTTCAAAAGTAAGCATATATCTTAACTTAAACCTGGTGGTACATCACACTGATCTTACCAAATAATGCAATTTGTATTGCCAGGCGCAGGATAACAGCAGCAGAAGATAATTACATTACACAAAATATGATATTTTCTGGGCAGAAAATATAAATACTGACACACAAAAATATTGAGTGTTCAGGAAGAGAGAAAAAAATAGAAAATGAATACATTTTGTTCTGATAATTGAGGCCTTCAATATAAGTATTCTTTACATTTTTAGTGTGGATAATGAAGGTACTAACACAAAACCTTCATGATCATCAAATGAACACATGTAACAGATATTGGAATTTGGCTGATCGGTGACAAGAGGAGATTTTGAATTTTATAATCCCTCATATCTTTTGCAATTCTTGTGAAAAACACTCAATGTCTAGTACATTCAAAAGCTGAACACTGTGGCTATATCTTTCATTTGGACAATATGGTTGTATCTGCTCTTGAAACATATCTATGTGGCTATATAGGAAAATGTTTGAAATATAAAGAACTATTTTATCACACCATTTACAGCTTTGACTCATTAATAAAACATTTAAAAGAAGGAAATGGCTTGCTAATGAGCTAGGAATAGAGTGGTTTGAACACAAATCACAAACTTGATGGGCATTTGAAGAATTAAACATGTTCTGTTGAAATCACTGGTTCAAATTCCACAAAGTGTTAGAGGTGGTCATATGATGATCAAAAATGTTTTTTGTTAGTACAATCAACAATTTACACTTTAAAAATACAAAAGAATATTCATATCAAAGCTCCCAACCATGGTAACAATATGCATACTTTTTTTGTATCTTTTCTCTCTTCCTGACCCCTCATTATTTTTGTGTAACATTATTTATATTTTCTGCCCAGAAAATATTAGATTTCTAGTAGAATTAACATATGGCCCCTTTGTTGTGGTAGACAAAGGATTTCTGCTGCACATTCCTTGGGTTGTAATACCAGACAATCAAGACAAAGCACTCAAGATTGGTAGGTGCTATTGTCTGAGGGGGGCATTGTTATTCCAGAGGACCAAGGGGAAACCCTCTTTTACCCCAATGAGCAAAGTGATACTGTTTTTGTCAAAGAACCCTATCTCTCTCCTGCAAATACTACAGCATTTGGTATCAACACAACAACTTGCAATGGTGCATACACTTGGTTCATATGGTGTACAATTACAAAGTAATATTATGTTTCTTTACTTGGAGATGCACTATCTGAATGGTTTTATAGTTGCAAGGTCACTTTAGCTTCAAAATAATTGGCTGTATGAAATGTTTGATGGTTCGTGAAGCCGGGTGTAATACTTTCACAGTAGGCAATGGTAGCACTGGCTGGCAACATGTTGGGGGTCAGTACACTCAAGAATAAATGTGTTTCCAAAGTGTGTTCCACAAAGTCTCTTATAAGCTGACCAATGTTTGTATATGATATTGGACCCTGAAAGGCCAGTCTTGAGCCCATTTTCTGATCTGTGGCTATTGATATGACCACCAAATGTTGACTCAAGGAAAAACAACGTGCACTGTAGAACTTATAACCCAAAAAGGGGTATACAGAGTGTGAAGGGGATAATATACCAATAAATGACTAGTAGAAGATGTCTATGGACTGCCCTCATAAAACAAGACAATCAGAAGGGGAACTCTGTTGAATTGAGTACTGATAAGTCACCAGACAAAAGTAACTTTATAGGACCAAAAGCACACGGATTTTAACTCAAAAAAGCACAATCTTATTTCTGTCAACACTGCTACAGTGTTATCCCAATATGATAACTAAGAAAATAAAGCAATTTTTTTTGATATTATTCCCAATAAGTCTTTTTGACTAAAACACTGAAGTAAATATCTCTTTATAAGTATCATAAAGGGTGTATTTAAGTGACCAGGTACTGCTAAAATAAGTTTATGATGATAAAAAATGATAACTGTGTAGATGACAAAGAAAAAAGGGGAACAGCAATCCCAAAATCATCCTAGAGTATATATATAAATGTGTCACACCTCTTACAATGGTCAACAGCCTAAAAAACCAACCAATTTTGACCAAAAACCCCTAAAAACCATATGATGACGCAATGTAATGGATCTGTTACTAATGAATGATGTGATTTACACAGCCAAAAGTGATCAATGATGTAAACTAATGATGTACAGCACTTCTTATGATGAATACAGGTGATTTTTTCCTTGTAAACTGGCTAAAAACCTATTTTTGAAGTTCCGGGTTTTTCCAAATGATGTCCAATTTCTGATTACTAAAGTGCATCTTGTAGAGCTCATGATACTGATCAATAATGGTGCCATATCATGTGCTTCCAATGAGTAATAGAAGGGTTATTTAGTTGTGAAGTTGAGGTTTTTGTATGTAAATGTTGTTACATGTATGCATGTAAGTGTAAAATTCAAAATCCACACCAGTTTCTTATTTCTCTTATAACTTTCTTTACACACCTCTGTTCATAATGATTTAAAATTTGTACATTTTGTAATCACATCTTCTGCGTTGAATGAGCTATCTAACATCTAATTCTGACGTCATTTGACATATGTAATAAGCTGAAAACCTCCATTTTTGACAAAATTCACACCTTTTCACCCTTTTACACAGCTTTTGCTCCCATCCTCTTGCTCCTGTAATATTAAATCTTAATCTGTAACCTCAAAAATCCCGGAAAATCCTCTTGGCAACCTTAAATATTACTAATACCACCACTACATATGTAAATTACCTGTAAAACCCTTGTTTACCAACTTTGATGAAGCACCATTTTCTCAATAACTTCCATTCCTCCTTATAAACCAACAAGATTATACTTGTTACTGACTCATATAATGCTGTTCTTTTATATTTTACCTCAAAAAACCCATAAACCTAATGTTAATACCCTAGAAACAATTTCTCAGTCTATATACCTATATTTTTGGGTTTTTCTTGTGTTTTTCTTTCTTTTCTTTTTGTAATTCATTTGCGGATAGTTTGTACTGATATTATTGAGTTTTTTGAAATAAAACGACCTTATCATGACATAATGAACAATACATAAGCCTAAAAGAGCTTCTATTAATCAGATTCCTTCAATTTTGAGTTTGCTTCACTGCTGAACTTTTCTAATAAACTTGGTAAACTACTATCAATAATTTTTTTGATTGGTCTCATAAAATGATCACCATGTCATTCTCAATTGCAAGGATGAATGTAATTTATACAATTTCTAAGTTATGACCTTTGATATCAACAATTACTTGGCCCATCAAATTGAGACTGATGTAGCCAGATTGTGGAGAGTGTCCCTAAGGCACTGCCAGCATATTAACCTTGGATTGGGAAATCTGAGGTGTTCTTGATTCTGAAACCTTGGACAGAAGCTATCCAAGGTTTTGATCCAAGGTAATTTTGGGCGCATAATGATACCTCAGACAGAAACCTCGGATAAGATCCGTCCAAGGATTTGCATCCAACAATACCTCAGATCAGGAGATCCGAGGCATCTATTATGGCGGTGAGGGCACAAAAGTGTGTATTCTGGGTCAGGCAGCTTTCTCTCTTGAATAGACTTACAGGTGCTTTCAAGATGAGTTATTTTTGCTAGGTCGTACTATGTCTATCGTCACAATTATGCCATGCTTCATCAGTATTGGTGGTTTTCTCTTTCTTTGTCTTCATTTTTATCTTTTGATTTTGCTTGTGATTTTGGTTGTGATTTTGATTTGTTTTCTGATCTAGATTTGGCTTTTTGTGGATCAACAATCATGATGTTGCTGATTTTGTAATCAAACATGTTGTGTAGGTTGAAACTTGAGTGGTTGAAGAAGGCAGCAGAGGAAGTCGAAGCAGGTGGTGGATGATGGTAGAGGATGGTTGTTGAGAGGTGTTGAACCTGTATGGGAAAGGGGGACTTGTCCAAATTTGGAGTGATCCGTACAATGGACAGGGACTCGTCCAATTTTCTGAAAAAATGAAAGAGTGGTAAATAGAAGAGGGCAGAAGGAACAAAAGTCACAGAATGTGATTTCTGTGATGAAGATCAGTGCTCTGATAGAGCATTCTTGAAATGACACCCAAAAAGACCTTTTACAAGCATTCTGTGATTTCCAGAATGCTTGTAAATAAGACATACCAAACACATTTCACAGAATGTGATTTCTGTAAATTACTGAACACAATTTTTCACAAAAAATTGCTTAAGTGAACACAGCCTTACACTCAACTCTTTTTTACCATTCTTTTGTATGAAATATAAAATTTACAAAACAAAAAACACTATGCTGTAATGATGATAAAGAAAATCAATGTTCAAAAAAATATATACAAAAGTCCAAAAAAAAAGAAATTCATTAAAATTAAAAATCAATTGGTTTTTTTCTTATACTAATTTGATTGTTTTATAATTAAATATGATGTCTATATATAGTGAGAATACAAAAATTTTAATACACAAAAAAATCTGGATTTTTGTAAAAAAAATTATAAGGAAATCATACAAAAATTAAATAATTCAAACCGTTCCAAAATGTTTTGTTATTCTTCACACTTTTTTCTTCTTCACAAAATGAAAAACACACAACACAACACAACACGACACAACACAAAACCAAAAATCAAATCATTTTAACTTATAAACTCTCCAAGTACTTGAACAAACACCCACAAAAAAAAGAAGAATCAAGTAATCACAAAGAAAGAAACCCTTTCAAAAGATATAAATAAAAATGAAAATTGACTAGAGAGCTTTAAGAATCTAAACCTACATTCTTCACAAGTTCTAAACTTTCTTCAATACAATCAAATCCAGATTTAAACATTTTCAGCCGAATTGATTTTCCTAATAAATCATTTTCAGCTTTTTTCAATCTACTTTTCAATAATTCAATCACTGGATTCTCTTCCAATAAACTTGTCGTAGTAGATTGAATTGAATTAGATTGTAAATGGATCGGTTTAGGTGGTGCCATTGGTCTTTTAGTATTCTGATGACTTGATACATTGGCTATGGTTGTGGTTGTGGTCGTGGTTGTAGAAGTTGTCGCAGTAGCAGTTGTACTAGTTACGTCTCGAATATAGATTGCTATGATTTGATTAGGATAACTTAATGCTAATCCAACATACATTTCTAAATCTTGTTCACCACTATCACCCACACAAATGAACCTTTTGGATCATTAAGAAAGACACCAGATTCAATGACGTTAAGGTTTGCAGAAAAGTTGCGAAATTCGTACTCACTTTGAATTCGGAAACTCGGTGATGATCCGTTCAATCCTTGCACGTTTCCTTGCTCCTGATGATTCTAACATTCCAGACAAGATTGATCCAGCTCCTCTTGCGTATTCTTTCAAACTAACTGAACCTATGATAGATAAGTACAGGAACATCAATCACATCAATCCTCTTTAAAATATATAATCAATTCAAAGGAAATAACACCAACCAAAGGGAAATTGATCATGTGATAAGAATCGTTCAATAGGTTCCCAAAGCTCAAGTGGAGAATTACTGATATAATGACTCCAAACGCCTAAGCTTGATAAAGCTTGATACCAAGTTGACATCCCAGTGACTTTCACTTCTTCAAATTCATTCAGGAACACATTTCTTAAGACTGTCTTCATGCCCCCCAAAACATTGGTACTCTTGATGGTATCATCTATATCTCTATTGAGAAGTTATTTTTTCGCAATTCAAAAAATAGAATATGTCAGTCAAAAGATCTTCAAACCAGAAGCGAGGGTTCAAACAACAATGTGACTAACGAAATTAGATGGACCGATGTTGATAGTGAAGGAATCACGTCGACTTCTGTCACTAAAGAAGCGTGTGTATTAACTACACCTGGCCCATCATCTGGATCACCATCTTCACTCAAAAGTGCAGCTTCGATTTTAATCTTGGTGATCCCCGATTTATGATTCGGGTGAGCCATCCTCAGATGACTTTCAATACTTTGCCAAGGCAAAACTAATCTCTCAGCCCAAATCCCACCTTGACGAGTCGTGATAACTTGCGTGAGTAATGGTCTACCCTGATTAAGAAGTACGCCTTGTTTCTCTTCTTCAAAGTTGGATTTACCAAAATATCTCTTTTTCGTCAAACTGTCTGATGTACCTGACGAGATTGGATCACATATCCCATAAAGTTTGACCCTAATTTGTCGGCCTTCGCTCTTGACTGAAAAGAATGCTCGAAGTCGTTCTCTAAGATTGGTATGTAACCTCATCACATCTTTATCAATGAAGCTAGGATCGGGTTTGAGTGATGCACTTGGAGGATTAGAGGACAATGAAGAGGTGAAGGAATCAGATGAAGATCGAGAAGAATTCTGTGGGGGGTGATCGTCAAACGGTTTAGATTCTCGAGGTTTGATGGGGGTTGGTAATGTCATGGTAATTCTTTGAGGTGGTCTAGGTGGATCGGAAGCCGGAATGGTGAGAGGTTTACGTGCGAGATCAGGTTTAGGATTATTCTTGGTAGGTGTGGCTGATGAAGAGAATGTGGATGCATGGGGAGAGTCATGAAAAGGTTTCTGAGGTGAATCATCATCACTCCAAGTAATCAAATCTTGACTCTCTTGATTGTTGACATCAAGTTGTGATCCAGATGGAGATTGGGAGGTAGCATAGTATTTATCGCCGATACGAGCTGGCAAACCTGTAAGTCTACAGATCATTGAATAGAATAATCTTTGTGATCGATTCAATTTTTCAAGATCATTCTTGGCTCGAAATGCATGAAAGGATAGGTATACCTCGATATCACCAGCTCTCGAGTGTGATGGTGACTTGAGCGCGGCATACTAGGAAATACAAAAGGGATCGGGTCAGATCATATATTTCGGTTTAGTAGTATGAATCAAATCACTTACACCTGGGAAGCAAACTAAGTGATCTTCAGTATATGATTCTTTGTTACGCTTTTGTCGATTTTGTCGATTGAAATATGAAAGATAAGCGCTAGCCGAGGAATAAGCGTTGGGAGTTGAAGGGTTTGATGATGATACTTTCGTAAGTTGAGATTGAGATTGAGATTGAGTAAGAGGGTCAGGTAATTGATTACCACCTCTTTGCATATGCCAATTTGATGTATCATTATCCCAATCTTCCCAAGTTTGAGATTGATTTCTAGTTGATCGAGCTTGAGAGGTTGATTGAGTTTTCGGAAAATTAAATTGATCTAGATCTCTAGTAGTCGATGATAAATAACTAGCTGATTTGTTGATTAACTTTGATGATAAGTTTAATGCTTTATTAGCTATGATCGAACGCCTCGAAACGTAAGTTGAAAATGTAGGATTTGAATTGAGATTGGATTGAGGATTTGAGGATGATGATGATGGAGTGATATCAGGTAAACTAGATCTTGTTGAATGAGTAGTTTGATGATTGGTTGAAACTTCTTGATCGTACAATGATTGAGATGAGAAATGACGTAGATGATGATAGTTCTTTAATGTTGATGTTGACTCTTGATTTGGATGATTTGATGACATTTTCATAAATGATGATGAGTTAGATGGCCTTTTAATGAATGATGGTAGTGAGTTCTTGATCATCAAATTGGAGTCGGTTTCAGTCTCGATTGAGAAAGTTGAGAAAGTTGAGAAGCTGCTGAGTTGGTTGAAGTCTTGAGGTCGAAGGTTGTGAATTGATAAAATGAATTATTAATTTTAGCTTAGCATTCTCTATGCTGTCATCATCCCATTGGCATCTCTGGGTACTACAAAAATTAAACCGTTCTACATACTTCATTCGAGACGAAGAGATATTTATGTAAGTAGCTCTCAGATGGATTCATGAGCTGACTCTCCGTGGGTTGCTCAGCCTTCAGGGGCCAGTCAATGGAATGAAACTTTTACAATCTTGAACGAGACAAGTCGGACAAGTTTCTTTAGATTTCTTTCCTTCGAGCTTTTCAACCGATCCTAAATGATCTCAATCAAACGACCTCTAAAAGATAAACCATCAGTTCAATAGATAGCTTGATCTTCTTGTTGAGACAAAAGTTCAGACCAACTCACTGCAAACTCAATGCGATTCAAGTTGATACATCCCCATCATGATTCACAGCTTTGCGCAGGCCACACTGCTGAAACATTCCGCAGGCTCCAGAGGAGCCTAAACTTATCAAAGTCCCCTCCGCCCGAGTAGTTGAGGGAGGGACTTCGGGCTAAAGCCTTAGGGCGCGTTCAAAACAGCAGAAATCTTGGCCATTTTTTTGTTTTTGCCCATGATCATGAGGATCACAGACCTCATAAAATCGCCCATCCAGCCACGCATAGCTTCCTTAACATCTTGTGCGCCTCCGCCTGCCGGTTTCAAATCGTCACTGCAGATAGATTCACTGCTATTTTGGTTCTTGGACACCGTGTTTTTGGAGTTTCAAGCACGCCTCGGGAGGTTCTGTATTGAATTATGGGTTGCAGCTACAAGTTTTTACAGCTCTTCTGAGTGGTTTGATGAATGAAATATGTACAGAAAAATGTACAAGGACATGTAGAAGTCTGAAGAGAAGACCTCTTGAGCTACAAGCATCATTTTATGATGTCTGTGACTCTCATAATTGATGATCAAGGAAATAAGCCCAAAGATCCAGCTGTTGTGAGTTGGAAAGTATGTAGTAGGACTTGAGCTGTAACGCCCTCCCTCGACTACTCGGGCCGGGGAACTTTGATAAGCTTCCAATGATTTGTGAAGTCAGCTGAAACATATGTATGAGCTTTGAAAATTGAAACAAGCCAGATATTCTCAGGTGACCAGAAGGTGTGAAAAGGAGTTTCAGTGAGGTTGCCCAACTGCAGAACTTGTTTCTGTTGGCCAGTTTTTCAGTCATCTTTCTCACCTGGTCAAGAGCCCAAAGATCCAACTCAGGTGTGTCCTAGGTGTGTGCTTAAACCAAAATGAATACTATGTACTTTCCACTGACTAAGTATGTGTGGTCCTTCATTTCACCCATGATCAGTGGCATAATTGCCTTGCCAGATGTCAAAAATCATGATGCACAAAATATTTTGGTCATTACCTTTATTAGCAACATTAACCTCAGCATTACAACCCAAGCCTAACCCATCAGGACCCATACAAAACTTTGCAGAAGGGAATATATGGCTCGATGACAGTTTCAATCAAGTAGAGAATCTGTATCATTTTGATACACCATGCACTCAAGATATCTCAAATTTTCATGACATAAACCAGGAAAAAGGACAGAAACACATGCTTTATGATGCAATTGAACCTTGGAAATCACTATCTGATTATGAAAATCAAGCTCTTTCTCATCTTGAAGGAGGACCCCAAGATAGAATCTTATATGATGTTTTTGATGCATACTGGAATACTTATGGTCAGCTAGAAATGATCTTGCAACCTGATCAGCAGACATCTCATAGACCAGAAACTCATATGGAAAAAGAGACAACTGTTGATCAAAGCCAAGAGTTGCACTATAGATCTGCAAAATCTAGCATTGACTTTGACACCTTGAGGCATCCAACCCAAGATAATTTTCATCCCCATAAAAGGATGAAAGATACATGCACTACCACACATGACAATCACAATACTCCAACACCAGGGATCGGAGGATTTACATCCATAGGTACTTCTGAGAATGTTCCCTCAATATCAACCAAGTCAAGTACACCAGGTGATCTGATTCATGATAATACAAAGATGGTCAAGAAGAGTCAATTTTTCCAGGACAGCAAGGGTATCCCTACCAATGAAGACATGTACCTCTATACCTTGTTGAATGAGTTTTCTGGAAACCTTGATCCCTATCAAAACCTTTATGACAGTGATTCAAACCGTCTACATGGAAATGAGGGGTCTTTTGAAAGGCAATCTCAAGGTTCATCCTCAAGACAATCAGATCCAATTGCTCATTTGATTCAAGACCCTTCAGAAACATATAATCAACACCAAATTGTCCAGGAAAGCCATAGGGTACATCATAATCTTCCATCTTTAGACATGGACCTCTATGAACATATCCATGCAGCGCCCTCAAACCTCCATTCCCATGAAGGGAACAAGAGCACATGGCCCATCAAGACATACCACAACCAAAACAACTTTCCAGTAACTAGAGCTGAGGTCTCTGTAAGCATGAACACTGCTCACCAACCTCCTTATTCTGTTTCAAGTTCTTTCCAAGAGTCAATTTCAAAGGCATCAGATAAAGTACTTTGTTCCATGCAAAATCATTCAAATGTGGTAAATCATGGTGTTAGTCCAGAATCTGTGATCAAAACTCACAACAAGTGTCCTGAGAATCCAGAATGGTATGGTTATGATCAAGGTAATCTCATGGAAATTCCTCCAAACATTGTAGATCATGCACTTACTCCAGAATTTATTATGGGAAGCCACAACATGGATTCTGGAAATTCAAACTGGGATCCTTCCAATGATCTACCTGGAGTTGATATGAGTATGTTACAGCATGGAACAACAAAAGTCAAAATGAGATCAGATCATAGGATACCTGCAATAGACTCTACAAATATTGAATTGCAATGGAACACTCCTCAACAAGCATCCAGTGTGCAGGATAAAGGAACTAGAACAGTTTCTTATGAAACAGGAAACTCACCACCTAGCACAAGCTACAATTCCCAGGGATTGGTAGGACTTGAAAAGACAGATCAGATTGAAACAAACAAGAACCTTGGGCATTCAGGCTGTGTAGACAGATTCCCCCTTGTACCAAAATCAAAAAAGTATAGCTCTTTGAATGTCCCGTGTTGCAAATTGATTCCAAAGCTACAGCAAATTGGTGGATTTTTAGTAAATAACTCACCAGGTTTGTGTTATGAAACCACAATTTGGTTTGACAAGCTAGAGAAGGATATGATTGAAAATAATAATCAAGAGGCATCAACCATGACTTTGATTGATAGAGCCATCAAATCTGCACATTTGAGGATCACCATGTGCTTTTTAGGTCTTATTGGGATCTTTGCAAATGAAGGTGGTGATAAATCATCTTTAGAAATTGTTTTGAAACAAGGTTGGGATTTAATAAAAGGACACTTTGAGGATTGGAGGAAGTTGAATATAATTGACAAGAATGGAAATGTGATTGTACACCATGATAGTGTGAAATGTCCATATAAGGCAAAACTTACAAGACAAAGTAACTTGCATCACCCACTCTTCTGGTTCCATGACTTGAGTAAGCTTACTCAACCTCAAAGATTACCAGTTGATCTAATTTACTATCTCAAATCAACATGGAATATGGAAATACCAAACTCAATGATTGGTGTACATAACATAGCAGTGTACCATTTAGAAATCCAAAATTTCCATGATGTTTATATAAACCATAGTCATGGTGGGTTTTATGGAAGAGGAGAAATAAGAAATATTGCATTTAAAGGAGTGAAATTGTCTGGAAAATATATAGTGCCTGAAAATGAGAATTTTTCAACATGGTATACAGTCTGCAAGAAACTGGCTGAAATTGCACAGTTTCATTCATCTGTAGGATTTGATCTGTGTCAAGAGGTTCACAGTTTCTTTGTATCATTGATTGAGCACCTATTGAACACTTACAAGGGATTACATCAGTGTGATATATCATCTGCTGGAAAGACTCGCGGGGAAAAAATCAAGGATTCATCTATCTGTAATCCCCATGATAAAAATGTTCAAAGAATTGTCCAATCTATCAGTATGGCTGAGTACAGAGTGACTGTGGGTTTTATAGGACTGGTGAGAGTACTTTACCAGAAAGAAGTCCAAGCTGATACACTCAGCTTATTACTCAAGAGTGCATGGGATTTCCTAAAAGGAATATTTTCAAAATGGAGAGACATTAAATCTTATAACAATACTTTGGTATTTGATGACAAGAGAATCACACGGAACAAGTGGAAACTAGATTATTCAGATCCTCATGAATTATTCAATGCATTATGGCAACATGAAGATTACCTAAGGAATCCTATACCACTTTATTGTTTAAAAAGTCTTGTGAACGTTTGGAACAAAGATCTAAAATCACTACAAAAGCTAAATCCAAATTCTTTCAATTTTGTCATCAAGGTCCTATCTGCTAAGACACCATTAGATTACAAACAATTGATTAGGTGAATTGCTTGTGTGTTGTTTTGTTCTTCTGGATATCATTTTTATCTTATACAATCAAGTAAAGTGGTAACCATAACCTCATCTGACAAGAATTGATGTGGATATCAAGCCTGGCTCACAGCGCTGCCATCCTCAAAATCAGAAGTGTGTTAACTGCTACAGGTGCCCATAGGAATGACAGCACCTGTGTACACCACAAAACCATCAGAAGTGTTTTACCCCCAAGTTTTGGACCTGTTTGTTCACCCAATTTCCTTTTCTGAGAGGTTGTGTTGATAAAATGCACCTATATCACGTGGTTTAATGAGCAAATGCACCTAAACCTTGTGGTTTAAAGCAGTTTTTTGTAATTGGTTTGCAGACTTTCCTTTTCTCAAACCATTATTTTGAGAGTACATACATTTTATTACTCATTCCTAATGTTCAGTGACATTCCCATCAAGTATGTATATAATGTGTAATACGGTGGCCAAGGACAGACAAATGTGCCATAACCTCAAAATGCAAAAAACATGTGTGAAACTCCCCTGAAATCCCCATTGAGCATATCCCGAGCCTTGGTCTGTTGCGTGGATGCTGGGTGATCCTTTCAGTTGTTATCCATGGTACAGATGTTACTGCTTCTGAGTTCTGAGCCAAATGCCAGCTGACTTGATCACTAATCCACCTTGCACTGATATTTTTCAATCCATAGCTACAATAAGTATGCCTTTTGGACCATTGTAAGCAAAAGGTATTCCCGTGCAATCTGGACACACATCAATCAATTATCCGTATTTCAAGCCATGCTTGTAGAATAGTTGAGATGTATTAAGTCAAAAAAAGCTTTCCCAAGTTTTTATAATCACTTGTAAAACACAAGCAAGATTTTTTTACTTTTTTGCCTTGATCTTCCACCCAGTAATGAAGATACTGCTGGTAAGAGGATGAAAGGAAAACCTTGCATCCAACATCAAGCCCACCTGTTTCCAAGGGGGAAACTATAAAGGTGAGCTCTTTGATCACCTGTTCTAAACTTAGCTGTTTACATTTCCACAAGATACAGAAAACTTATTGTGTTCTTGGAATTTTCATATAAACTTATGCTACAGCAGGAAACTTTTTCATGGTAATAACAGTAAAAACCTCAAACTTGAGACCCCCTAATTTGAATCTTTTTCATAGTAAAAGACATAGAACACTCAAACTCAAAACCCCCTATTACAAACAAATCAATCTAAAAAAGGCTTGGTGATAGGAACAAATCACCTTTTTCTGGGTAAAGTAGTAATAAGTCAAATCAAGAGATGAGTAGATCACATTATATAATCACAGAAATAATCATAGTGGTACAATAAGCATCTAATGGTGGACTTCATAAGTGTGGAAAGTATTTGGATCATCATTTAACATGGTGGTTTGATATTTTTTAGTCATCTGTTGAAGGAAAAGAGGGCAAAGTTATTAATAATTATATTTCACAAGACTTTAAAAGTCACAGCAATTATATTTTAACATGATTAAATGTTTATAAAGCTTTGGATACAAAACTATGAATCATTTGAGGAAGTTATTATGAGTAATAATAGATGCTTATCATATATCAAATCACAGCTTTACCACATCTTCAGATAACAAATGACTGATTCTAACACAGCATCATCAAGATTCTTATCAAGCAAAACTTAAGCATCATGAGACCAACTGAATATCTATTCTATAACATTCAATACACAGCACATATACACAGAAATTAATTGTAAGAAGACTTGGCAATATAAATTAATCATTGTTCCTTGGTAAAGTAGTAATTAATCTCTGCTTATTTTGAAAGTCATTTGCCATCTTGACTGGAAATCTGCGTGGCTCAGTTAGCTTGAGCATTGTTGCACTTACCTCCCATGTTGACATCTCCCAGCCATATTCTGCCATTCATCCTGCCTGCTGCTCAGTAAGCAAGAAGTCAATCATGGCTTCCTCATTATCATTGGTCCATCTTGCCTTCATCTTTGGGAGATTTGTCATTGTTGTCAGAGGGGATTATCCATTAGTGGTACACAAACATCTCAACCCAACCTAATATAACCCATGGCAACCAAATCAATTTTTGGATTTTTTGGCGCTAAAACCTCAAAATCAATTGGTTTGCCATGGGTTTTCTGGATGGTTTTTTTGGGTGGGTTTTTGAGGTCAGGTTGAGATGTTTGTGTCCCCCTATTGTTCTTGAAGGCACAACAAAGCATAACCAAACTAATAAGGTCCAATTTTTTCCAACATATTTTTTTTCTTGCTGTGTATTCAGAAGCTACTAGTTTCAGGTCTAGGGGAATAACCCGGTCAACCTGCAAGATTAAACCAAGACAGAAATTAACCAAGCAGGTTGAAAAACTTGGATGGCTGAACTCAAGGTAGATGCCTCAAAGTTTGACCACAGTTTCTGTACCCACAGTTTCTGTACCAAACAACAAAACTTCAAGTGTAATCTCATGATGATGATCATCCTTGAAGCCAAAATGAACAATAACAAGGAAATAATTGGTGATTCTTTGACAAACTGATTCTTCAGCAAAATATAGATAGTTGGTGTAAGCTTTTGTAATTTGAGGAAGGTGAGGAGTTGAAGATGAAGGATGAATATCTTCTGTAGTGCAGGATTTCTTTAGACTACAATAAACTTTGAAGTGTCAATCAAATCTTAGGTTTGAGATGGCAATAATTGATTGACAAATGTATCAGATCCCAGATGTATAGACCTATTGTAGACTCTTCATGAAATTCAATAGTCAATGATTTCATTATTGTTATTGTGATCCAACATCATGTTTGTTATAGTCTTTTGTATACTCATAATAAAGCTGCACTCATAGGTTGATTCTCCTATCTCCTTTTTTCATATCTTGTTAAACCTCATCTGGTTTCTACCATCAATTGACTGATCTGATGAACAATGCTGTTTATGGCATTGGCATCTCTGAGTACCAAAAAACTAGATTATACTGTTTCCAAGACAAAGAGATAGCTCTAAGATGGATTCATGATTGGACTCCCCGTGGGTTCTCAGCCTTCAGGGAGCTGTAGGGGCTACTCAATGCAGTTGACTACACCGCCAACATAGACGTCTTGGGTTGCGGAATCCGAGGCATCATCGGAGGTAAATCCTTGGACAGACTTTGTCCGAAGTAATCTTTTGCACTGAGAATTGCCTTGGATCAAAACCTTGGACAGCTTCTGTCCAACGTTTGGAATCCAATGATACCTCAGATTTTCCAATCCAAGGTAAGTATGTTGGCGGTGCTAGCGGTTACTCAATGGAATGATCTTGAATTTTGAATGAGACATGAATAGGATTTCAATGGAATGACAAAAGTTGAGTATATAAGTTTCTTTACATTTTCCCATTCAAGTTCAAGCTTTTCAACCAATCCTAATTGATCTTGATCAATGGACTTCTAGAAGGTAAATGATCATTTGATAGCTTGATCTGTTTGTTGAGAAAAAACTCCAGACCAACTCACCACAAGCTCAATGCAATCAAAGTTGACACAAGCTCATCATCATTCACAGCCTTGTGGAGGCCATAATATGGAGATAATCTCTGTACTGATGAAACACTTCAGAGGCTCCAGAGGATGCATATAATGTGAGGAGGAACTTTGTCAAGTCAGCTGAATCACATGTATGAGCTTTGAAAATTGAAACAAGCCAGATCTTCTCAGGTGACCAGAAGGGGTGAAAAGGAGTTTCAGTCAGGCTGCCCAACTGCAGAACTTGTTTCTGTTGACCAGTTTTTAAATCATCTTTCTTGCCTGGTCAAGAGCCCAAAGATCCAACTCAGGTGTGTACTAGGTGTGTGCTTAAACCAAACTGAATACTATGTACTTTCCACTGACTGAGTATGTGTGGCCCTTCATTTTACTCATGGTCAGTGGCATAAATGCCTTACCAGATGTCAAAAATAATGATGCACAAAATATTCTGGTCATTACCCTTATTAGCAACATTAACCACAGCATTACAACCCAAGCCTAACCCATCAGGACCCATACAAAACTTTTCAGAAGGGAATATATGGCTTGATGACAGTGTCAATCAAGTAGAGAATCTGTATCATTTTGATACACCATGCACTCAAGATAACTTGAATGTTCATGACATAAACCAGGAAAAAGGAGAGGGACACATGCTTTATGATGCAATCGACCCTTGGAAATCACCATCTAATCATCAAAATGAATTTCATTCTCATCTTGAAGGAGGACCTCAAGATGGAAGCTTTTATGATGTTTTGGATGCATACTGGAATACTTATGGTCAGCTAGAAACACTCTTGCAACCTGATGAGCTGGCATCTCATGGACCAGAAACTCATATGGAAAATGAGAAAACTGCAGATCAAAGCCAAGAGCTGCACTATAGATCTCCAAATTCTAGCATGGACTTTGATGCATTGGTGCATCCAACTCAAGATAATCTCTATCCACATAAAAGGATCAAAAGTGCATGCACTACCACCCATGACAATCACAATACTCCAACACCAGGGATGGAGGGATTTACATCCACAGGTACTCCATAGAATGTTCCCTCAACATCAACCAAGTCAAGTACACCAGGTGATCTGATTCATGATCATACAAAGATGGTCAAGAAGAGTCAATTTTTCCAGGACAGCAAGGATGTCCCTTCCAATGAAGATATGTACCTCTACACCTTGTTGAATGAGTTTTCTGGAAACCTTGATCCCTATCAAAACCTTTATGACAGTCATTCAAACCGTCTACCTGGAAATGAGGGGTCTTTTGAAAGGCAATCTCAAGGTCCATCCTCAAGACAATTAGATCCAATTGTTCATTTGATTCAAGACCCTTCAGAAACATATAATCAACACCAAATTGTCCAGGCAAGCCATAGGGTACATCATAATTTTCCATCTTTAGACATGGACCTCTATGAACATATCCATGCAGCGCCCTCAAACCTCCATTCCCATGAAGGGAACAAGAGCACATGGCCCATCAAGACATACCACAACCAAAACAACTTTCCAGTAACTAGACCTGAGGTCTCTGTAAGCATGAACACTGCTCACCAACCTCCTTATTCTGTTTCAAGTTCTTTCCAAGAGTCAATGTCAAAGGCATCAGACAAATCAGACAAAGTATCTAGTTCCATGCAAATTCATTCAAATGTGGCAAATCATGTTGTTAGTCCAGAATCTGTGATTGAACCTCACAAAAAGTGTCCTCAGAATTCAGAATGGTATGGTTATGATCAAAGCAATCTCATGGGAATTCCTTCAAACATTGTGGATCATGTGCTAAGTCCCAAATTTATGATGGAAATCCACAACATGAATCCTGCAAATTAAAACTGGGATGCTTCCAATGAACTACCTGGAGTTGAGCAGAGTATTTTACAGCATGAAAAAATGAACATCCAAATGAGATCAGATCATAGGATACCTGAGATGGAATCCACAACTAGTTAATTGCAATGGACCACTCCTCAACAAGCATCCAGTGTGCAGGATAAAGGAACTAAAACAGTTTCCCTTGAAACAGGCAATTCACCACCAAGCACAAGCCACAGTCCTCAGAGATCTGTAGCACCCAGAAACATACACCAGATTAAAAACAATGAGGATGTTGATCATTCAGGTTGTGTAGCTAGGTTCCCCCTAGTACCAAAATCCAAAAACAGTAAGTTTTCATCTGGCCCATGTAGCAAATTGCTTCCAAAGCTACAAAAAATTGGCGGATTCCTGGTAAATAACTCGCCAGGTTTGTGTTATGAAACCACATTTTGGTTTGAAAATCTAGAGAAAGATATGATTAAAAATAATAATCAGGGGGAACCAACATAGAAATTGATTGATAAAGCCATCAAATCTGCACATTTGAGAATAACAATGTGCTTTTTAGGTCTTGTTGGGATCTTTGCAAATCAAGGTGGTGATAGATTATCTTTAGAAGTTGTTTTGAAACAAGGTTGGAATTTGATAAAACTGCACTTTGAGGATTGGAGAAAGCTGAATATAATTGACAAGAATGGAAACTTGATTGTTCAGTCAAAGCAAAAGCTTTCAAGACAAAGCAACTTACATCACCCACTTTTCTGGTTCCATGACCTGAGTAAGCTTGCACAACCTCAAAGATTACCAGTTGATCTGGTGTACTATCTCAAAGCAAAATGGGATATGCAGATACCAACCTCAAAGATGGGTGTCAATAACTTGGCTGCATATCATTTAGAAATCCAATATTTCCATGATGTGTATATGAAACCTAGTCATGGTGGCTTTTATGGAAGAGGAGATATCAGAAATCTGGCATTTAGAGGAGTAAAATTGTTAGGAAAACACATAACACCTGAGACCAGAAACTTTTCAACATGGTATATAGTCTGCAAGAAACTGGCTGAGACTGCACAGTTTCATTCACCTATAGGATTTGATCTGTGTCATGAGGTTCACAGTTTTTTTGTGTCATTGATTGAACACCTATTGAACACTTACAAGGGATTATATCAATGTGATATATCATCTGCAGGAAAGACTCAAGGGGAAAAAATAAAGGATTTATCTATCTGTAATCCCCATGATGAAAATTTTGGAAGAATTGTCCAATCTATCAGTTTGGCTGAGTACAGAGTGACTGTGGGTTTTATAGGACTGGTGAGAGTACTTTACCAGAAGAAGATCCAAGCTGATACACTCATCTTATTACTGAAGAGTGCATGGGATTTCTTGAAAGGAATATTTTCAAAATGGAAAGACCTCAAATCTTATAACAATACTTTGGTATATGATGGCAAGAAAATCACGCAGAATAAGTGGAAACTAGATTATTCAGATCCTCATGAATTATTCAATGCATTATGGCAACATGAAGATTACCTAAGAAATCCTATACCACTTTATTGTTTAAAAAGTCTTTTGAAGGCTTGGAACAAAGAGCTAGAGTTCCTACAAAAGTTACATCCAAATTCTTTCAATTTTGTCATCCAGGTCTTATCTGCCAAGACACCATTAGATTACAAAAAATTGTTGTGATGAATTGTTGTATTTTTGTTGTTTTCTTCTGGATATAATTTTGATTTTATCAAAAGAGCAAATCAGTAACCATAATCTTATCTGACAAGAATTGATGTGGATATAAATCCTGGCTTGCAGCACTGCCAACCTCAAAATCGGCAGCATACAATGGCCACATAATAACTTTCAGGAGGGGGAAAGCTCACACTGCCAACATAGATGCCATTCAAACATGATGAGGTTACCCATTTACATTGTTCCAAGCTTGAAACTAAGCTTCCATGTCAGAGCTCAAAATGTGATTGAGGGGAACACTGGCTTGAAACATTTTTTTCTTCCAACTTGATGAATACTTCAATCTTATCCTATTTTGATCCAAACAGTGATCTTGTGACCTAACAAATAACAATAGATTTGGAAGTTGCTTGTCATCTATCATAATTTACTCGATGAAATACATTACAAGGAAATTGTGAGCAATTGATCAAAAAAAATAAGACCATGGTATTTCAATGTTTTAGATTGAAGATCCAAGACTTCATCAGCATAGGTGCACTCCAATCACTGCCCAATAAACACAACTGTTCAGACAGAACACACATTTTATAAGATTTGAAGCAGAAATCAAAGCTTCAGTTCAAAATACTGACACATATATCAGTAATGATAACAACAGAGATGAAAGACACCCCATAATTCTATGCTAACCATACTTTTCTTAACTCCACAGGAAGCATATTGGAAAGTGACATGTTTTAGGCCATTGAATTTTGACAAGTAGAGTTTTGGAGGAGATATATTAAGAGTGTGTTCACTTAAGCAGTTTCTGGTGAGAAATCACATTCTGCAAAATTTAAAGTGTCTATTTGGTGGTGCATGTTTCATTCTTGCATTAAAAAAATTACAGAATGTGATTTCTGGTCAGAAGTTCCTTAAGTGAACGCACCCTAAGAGATCTACTGATCTTACATTTATTGCAAAAAGAAAATTGTGGAAAAGAAGAAATTATCACAATTCTAAAGGCAGCAAAAGGAAAACTTGAAACAAGAATCACGCAAAAAAACATTTCAATCTTCACTAAACTTTCTTTGACACTATAGGGAAAAGAATTACTTGTGTGTAGAGTGAGATCCTCTTTTGTAAAAGGTTAATTACGTTTTTCAGAACATTATTCATTTTGCATAAGTACAATGTAAACCTCGAAAGAGAGATGTATATAAAAAGGATATTCAACCAATCGTACTTCTACAACATCAATCATTCACAAAAGCCAAACATATCATAAACAAGCAAGCAAAAAAAATGACAAACCAACATTGAACTACTGATTGATTCTTATTTATAATAAACAACATCTGTACCAAAGATCTCTTTTAAAACATGATATTGATGACCTTTAAATCCTCCTTGATTCATCAATCGATTCGAAAACCTCATTGAAGGTTTAATCAATCCTTCTTCGATTCTAACATAATCTGATAAATCTCGATCTGGATCTACTTTAATCCAATCTGGTGGAACTTGAAAACTACCAACTTGAATCTCTGTATCACTTACAGCAGGTTTAGATCTAAAGAAATCAAAAAGTTAAAGATCAATGATACCTTCTACAAAAGCAGATGATAGTTAGACTTACCCTCTTGTCACCCTAGCATAGCCAACTCGTCTCAACCCACGAAACAAGATATATTCACACCTGATAATCTCTCAGTCCAATCAGTTATCCTCATGATCATTAATAAATAAATGAATAACTTACCATCGATCAAAATCTGATCTTTCAATATCCAACATTTTTCCATCTTCTACTAAGATTTGATAAGGAGCAGGTCTAGGAGCATGAGGTTTACTAACTACATATCCTAAAAAGATAAATGGTCTAGGATATGCTTCTCTCATGATCCTTGCTAATTCGATTGATTGTAATTCTCGACTATCGATTAAAAAAATGGTTTTGCAAGAGACAAGATCAGAAACAAATGGACAAAGATGAATTGAAACCGTGAAAAAGTAACTCAACTCTTTTGGATCTTCTTCTTGTCCATTATGACTAACAATCACATCTATCATTGTGCCAAATACATCTAAAGTCGCATGTATTGCTTTTTTCACCAGATAATCACATTCACATTAGTGTCAACTTCAAATTTTCAAGAAGAGAGTCCGAATAGAAAACACACCAGGTGCGAGTTCACCTTTGGGTGAAGGTAATAAATGATGAGTCGAATTGACAATAGGGAATTTCGAAAGTAAAGCTGCTCCCTAGAAGCCATGATTTTATAGTTGCACCGAAAATTGATGAAAGGTAAGGATTCTTCATCAATGAGATCAGAAGAAAGCAATAACACAAACCCAGGTATGTTTGTTAGGTCCAGGTCCAAGATCAACATACATTCCTAAATCCTCAGCAATAAATTGAGTCCTAAGAATAAGAGATAAAAAGATTGATTAATGATCTCAGAAAAACCAATACCAAAGATTCAAAGTGACTCACAAATCTCGATTTCCCATCACAATCCTTTGTAAATCACTCTCTAAAAGTCCTATGACATCTAACTCCAATTCTTGAAAGATATCTCTCATCCTTCTTTGACTTTCCCACATCCCACTATTTAATTTTGTTTACAAAGAATCAACAAATGAGCTCTCAAAACAATCAACTAGCCATGACAGAAATATAATTCATGTAGATGAAACAAACCTGTCAATACCAAAATGAACCGTCCAAATACCAGCTTTCAAGGTTCTATCTTCAGGATGATAAGGTAAAACCTCTTTAACTTTCCAAACGGTCCTGAACCACATCACTAAAACAGCCCCAAGTATCAATGCACCCAAGGCTTTCCTAATCAACCCTTTTTCAACGAAGTCCTCTTCTACAAGTTCATTTTCTTCTTCTTTTCGCTTATCGTATTGATTTCCAAAAAATCCAATCCCAATCAATCCAATCACAACTGCTAAGACAATTGGAGTATGTTCTCTAAAAATCTCTCCTCCAGGTACAAATGCGTATGCAACTGTAAAAGTATGAATAAGTTCAAGTAAATCATAAATCAAAAAACTAATTCCAAATCCAAGTCCAATAGATGTCCAACCTCCGGGACGAGAAAAGTTTGATAAAGATCTAATGAAGATATTCAATTGACTAATACTAAAGATACATAATATCAATCCAGAACTAAAACCTAACCATCCATGGAAAAGTGTTAGACCAATAGTTGAAAGGACTCCAAGACCGTACCAGATTGGATGTGAACATAGATCATTAGGTGAGCCAGTTTCAATAAAGACTCCTATTGCCATCGCGATTATCATCATGTATCCATGCTTCACAGTTGTTGGACCTTTGACCGGATATCCGTCCCAGACCCAAGCAAGCATTGTACCCGAGTCGGTGAAGAGGGTATGGATTAAGAAAAGCAGAGCTCCTAAGCCTATCGATGAACACCACCAGCGCCAACAAGGTGGTAAGACTTCATCTTCCTCCTCATCTTCTTCTCCCTCTTCCTGATCTCCTTCCTCGTCAACTTCTTCAATATCTTCTCGAGATGTCCGATCTAGCGAATCTACTAATCCATTCTTCTCCAATAGCTGATCTCTTTCCTTTGCCAAGATGACTTCCAAATTAGCCCAAAGTCCTAAAATTACTCCAATTCGATTATACCCTCCATTCTTCATCCTCATGATCGGCCACATCGGATTAAGTGAATAATTAGCATATTTAATTAAAACGCTCAAAATCAATCCTAATCCAAAGCCTTTTAATTTCCTTTCAGCTTCTTTTTTAGGTCCAACAAATCCAATCACACTTAAAAAAGTACAAATTCCTACTGAACTAGCTGTTAATTGTAATCGTATTACTGAATCATCGTAAAACCTTTGATCTCGATCTATGATATATGAACCTATACTTAAGAGTGAAAGGATTTGAAGAATTGGTGATAATTTTAAAAGTAGTGTCCGAAGTAATGGTAAACATAGTAAAAAGGGTGCAAGAGTTGAGAATAGTAAAACTTCCATTCCATCCAATCCCTAATAAAAAAATGGCGCATAAAATCATGAGATCAGTAAACCATGGAATAGGACAAGTTTATGTGCCTTCACAGGTCAATTTTTAACACTTTGGCATTTTTTGCCATTAGCGAGATTGTCCGTGTGGAAGGATGACGGGTACATACCATACTCCAAACTGAAAAATAAAATATTGTTGGTCCTAAAGCAGTCAAAGTGGTCCAGAACACGAAACCTGTAAAGCAAAGAGGCACAAGACATATATCAGATACAATTTTTGAAAACCCTTTGAAGGAATTGAACCCCTTTGATAGCACGCTAAACGCTCATCAATCACAAACATACCTAGGTAAATTTCTGCACCAAACAACCTAGCACGTTGGATCTCAGGCGAGTTTAGGCACCATGGAATCATTGAATTCGTAGTTCTAGAGGTACGTTCTCTACATATGCAAAAGGGTTGAAAATCAAACCAAAGGTTTTGTAATTTTTCAGTGTTTGAATAAAAATTCAACCCATATCATACAAGTTGAATTTAAGCAAAAAGCAAAAACAAGGATGCAAATCAAGTAAGAATCTTTCGGAAAAGGCTTTTGGTTAATAGGATGAAAAGAAAAACTGAGCAAGTAAATACAATCTAAACAAACACGAAACGCTTGTAACATGTTGAAAAACCGCAGGATAGAAGAACTCCAATTTCTCAATCAACATACGTCTTTATAGTCTGAGGCAAAGAGGATCCAGGTTGAAGTCGTCCTTTTAATAGATTGGTAGTCACTTCCGTATAACTCATCACCGGGAGTTCATTCTTTGGTCGAATGTTGAAACTGATCTCGAAATGAGCAAAATCAAGGATACTACAAGAATCAAATAAGACGTCGTAGACTGTAATTGGATTGGAGCAATGATGTCAGTGATAATTGGAATGCGTAAAACTATTTGATAGTATGAAGGATGACTTGCAGATTAAACTCCATTCGATGAACGAGTACTGTTATTTTAAAACAATGCACAGAAGACGTGACTTTAGAATAAAATTCTTCCTGACCGCGCATATATGCGACTTAGCTAATGTAACAAAATGATGACTGACATAGGTATATGCTGAATACCAATCAATGTGATTCGCATAGGGAGTGAGGTTTCGGGTCGCCAAAGAAGAGATAAGAAGCATTCCCAAAGATCAGCATCGATCCAATTGATGGATTTGACGAATGATTTGATCAATGATCTCGAAGACAATAAATTACCTCCAGGGATCCGTCGCACTTTGTGTTGAACGTAAAAATAGACAAGTGGTATAATACTAGCAAAGAACAAAAGACTGAAACGCTTGCGATATTGATTTCCGGAGAGATGGGTGGAGATAGGTGAGAGATAGATGGATCCCAATTGCCATGGTATGGTCAAGACGAGGTAACTAATAGTTCATTAAGAAGGTTCCGCGTGCAGAAGTCAGTGATCCATTCAAGAGCATACCATCAAGAAAACTTTGATCGGTGAAGAGACTTGCTTACGAGATCATCATCACATCATGCCAATCATGGTGATCGGAACTAGTCACATACACCCAACCACCACAAGAAATGGTACGTAGTAAACCGCATAAACACAGAAGTGGTGCCGAAGCGGTTGATCGAAGGGCGAAGTGGGACTGAAAGAGGTAAGAGAAGAAGACAAGCGCGAGTCTTGGACCTGATGTAAAGGCGATGAGGATATGAAAGAGTGATCGTTCGGGATAGTAGTCACCACTGATGTCGCGCAAGAAAAGAAACAGGTCAGTGAAGTGATTGATGACCAATAAAAATGATAAGAATACTGACATGGTTGCACTGACTGACGGCCACCATTCAAGTGGATAACCGTACCACTAGAATCAAAGGCCGACAAATCATCCAGGAATCAGATTAGCTCTGTTCGATCGGATCAAATTGAGACCTTTATACCTCGTTCTTGACAATTTTGTGATAATGAAGATAAAGTCCAGTGATCAATGCTCCACTGAAAGCAGCAAGTGCAAAGATTGTGTGAACGAACGAGATCCATGAGGCTGAGAACTGAATGTGAGAGGTTTGATGAAGATTTCAGATTTCAAGGTTTTCATCATTCTTGGTATACTCGATCACTGACCGTCAAGAGTGTATTTTGCTGAGATGGCATCCTGCTTGATCGTTCTCTCTTCAATGATGCTGAGGATAATATTAATATGATGATGATGATGAGAAAGGTCTTGACTAAAACCACGATGTAAGGAATCTTTAGTTCATAATTCAAGTTTGTATCTCATCCCATCGAACAGTTCATCAACTGAATTGTAGATTTACAGTCAAACTACACTCACTATCTTCAAAACATCTACCACATGGTCAGAATTTCATATTTTGTCACTCAGCAAACATACTCTACCCTCATATTCCATGATGGTGTAACGTACAATTCACTTCATTTCAAACATAAAAAAAATCATAACCCAAAAACCTCACTTCACCCCTTTACTTCACTTCATGATATCTACAAATGTCAATTCTTTGAAAAAAATAAAAAAAGGATATCTACAAAACACTTTTTTTTTGGAAAATTTTATCATCTAGCATTAAACAAAATCGAAAATTGTTTGTTATAGTCAAGCATATTGATATATATAGTATATATGTAAGTAAAAAAAACTGGCCAATCTTCTCTATACACCTTTCGTACTCCTACTACAAAAACAAAGTTGAATGAAACAGAAAAGAACCCATTGTACCGCATATTTTTTTTTGTGAAAAGGATAATCTGGAAAGAAAAAAGTTATCGGAAGCAAAAGAATCATCATACAAAAGAAAATGGTAAAATTTGACCCAAAAAGAACTGCAGACTTGCAAAGATGATCAATGAATAGTTTTTTTGAAGTAGTGGAAGTTTGAAGTAAAAGTCATGATGAGAGTTTTAATTGGCAAAGGAGTTGAATATATTGGACTATCTCTCCTGAAAACAAAATCATCCTTGCCTCTCTTATCACATTGGCACCGGAGACTTGACCTTGTCGTAAACCTTCCGGAACAAATCCACCCATTTAACCTTCGACTCATCGTGAATTGTAAAATACAAAAGAATGATCCATATCTAATCTGATATCATAAAACCTAAGCTGGTGATTGTTGTCTAGATTCAGGTCTTCCAGGTCCACCTGGTCTAGGGCTTTGACTTGTACTAGCTGTCATCGTTCGATTTCCTTGACTTGACATACCTCTAGTCTCTGAATTCGCTTGTCCAACTTGTCCACTCTTGCTATCACAAAGACTTACTGGACTTACTGGAGATTGATTGACAGACTGAGGATAGGGGGAAGTTGTGGAGGCTTCATTTTCACCAGTGGCGAGGCTTAGGCCAGGACCTAGCCGACTAGCTGTATACATGGAGGCAACAGTTGTGGGTGGTGAAACCGTAGGATGGTTGGAGTTCCCAGTGAAATGGTTATCAGAGGCGGCTGAGACGTTTTGTTGACGACCATTGGCAGGTGATGCGGCGGGGGTTGCAGCAGGTGTAGAATGTGGAACAGGTAAACCGGGATAAGAGGTAGAAGGAGTGGTGAAATTGGTAGTTCCAAGCGAAATTGATATCGCATTTGCAGAATCGGTCATTGAGCTTGGAGTCATAGGCGTGGAAGGTGTAAAGAAGCTACTAGGAAGCTGAATGCTACTCGATGAGATCGAAGCTGTATGATGAGTTCTACGTCGACCATCGGAGCTTGTCATTCCAGGTATGGGGATCCCGTTACCACTCGCACTAGCGCCTCTTGACCTACGACGGGCTGCTGGATAGTTTTCTTCGAATGTTGGGATGGCGCCAATTCTACATTGCCGAAAGCACATTAGACATGGAAGAACAGCATCGAGATATCATCATGAGCAAATACAATCTTACAAATCGTCAATGGGTAGCCCGACTCTCTGACGCAGTGCAATCAGTTCATTTCTATACATCTGGTTGAATAAGAATGCATTGCAATGTTATGAGCTCGGCGAGACGGAAGATTATGCGATATAGTAGAGATAGACCTACATCACTTTGTCGACTGGTCTTGATGTACTCTCGCTCAGTGTCTACCAACCTGTTTCGTAGATTTGAGTTTTCCGTTTTCAAAAGCTCGATCAGGGTATTGGCGGAAGGATGAAGTGGGTCAGGGTTATTGACGAGTGCGTTGATATTAGGTCCTCCAGGAGGTGAGGTAGCAGGAGCTGCAATGGCGGCGGTGGTCGAAGTAGACTGTGATGATTGCTGTTGCTGTTGCATCAATAACGAAAGTCGTCGCTGAAGGCGTAATACTAGGCTTTCTGACTCGGCCTCCAAGACGCTCTCGAGCTCTACTTTTTCAGCACGAAGCTATCAGATGGAGAAAAGATCAGTATCATGTTGTTTCAATCGAAGACCCTTTCAGAGAATGGTCTGCTGGAGATTACTGAGACCTTCCGACGATAGCCTGACGGACGGGTTTTAAGAGAAGACTGACAATGAACTAGCTAACCTTTTCAAGTTTTCGGGTAAGTGTGTTGACCAAACGTTCCTCTTCAGCCTCAAGAGCATTGATGAGGTCTTCCTGCTGCTTACTATCTCCATTGCGAACGGACCGGGATGAGGTATTGGAACGAGTGGAATCAGCTCTCCTCATGGTACTTTGTTGAATGGTAGTGAGAGATCGCTCGGGTGATTGGGATGCCATGATAGAGATATGAAAGAGACTGAGATGGTACGATAAGTTGCTGATGACCTTGATGATCTTGTACGAGAAGCAATTGTCAGTGAGAAACTGGATGATGATCAGCCATCGATTGATTTTACTAATCCTCAAACTTTAAATAACCCCTTGGAACTGTATTTCTCTGTGTAAGATATTGTTCAGTCATGAAACAGTTTTCTCCCCGGGTATCATCGATGCGGGAGAGATGCGGTATCAGTCTTCCTCTGAGACTACCTGAGAGGATCCCTGAGACATACAGGGATAGTATAAAAATTTTTCGGGTGGCACCTGTTTTCCAAGAGGAGGGGCGTGTTTTCATTCTCTGACCTTCTCGGATCTACTCAAGCCTGTACAAAGCTCTTCAGACTTCTGTGCAATTGATGGATCCAAAAGATCTGCTCTGGATTGCTTCAAACAAGCAATGGATCCATGCCTATGTAGGTACGAGCAACTTGTTAGATCACTATGGTCCAATGATTGGATGTTGACCAATGTGAGAGATTGGTCTTTTGAGAAGAAGTCACATCACTTCTGCTTCGAACAGAAATTTATTGAGCTCGATTCATAAATTCATGATGTTTCAGTTTCTAGCCTACACATAACAACAACAACGGAATCTCGATGTCTTTCAAGTTCATTGTCATATTATTTCATAACAAGCGAACTGGCTGGAGCTTTTCTTGTTCACAAACGCTCTCTCAGTCAGTTTGAAATACACTTTTTTGATTGAATCTACCAATTTGTTGTTGGTTGAATTGAACGATGAGTATTCTATGCAATCTACCCATTTTTAATCGATCGTCTAGAAACAATAACGTGATGATCTTGTTTTTTTGATAATACTAATCCTAGATGATGAATCAGTCAATTCATCAGTTTTAAACAGATCAGATCTAATGCTTTGAAGTTGATGTTGAAAGTCACTTAAAGGTCATTTGCAAAGTTTCCAGCGAGAGAAGTATTGAAAATAAGTTGATGCGTGTTTTGGTTTGCGAGAAGAACAAATTTGATGCACCAACCGATAACTGATATGTTGCTAAATTGAATCAAAAATGAGACGAGAGGTCATATGAACTCGTCTCCTCGAGTACATGAAAGAGAGGTAATTAGTGTGTTTTGTTCTGGTTGGTTTCCAGGAGGAAGCCTATTGTTTGCGAATCAAAAAGCAATCAGTAATCAAAAAGCAAACTCGTCGTGAAATAATCTTTTTCAAAGGACTTTCTTTACATTATCTTAGCTTGCTTAAAAAACCTTTATGAAGAGTGGAATTCTTTTCGTTCCAAGGAGCTGGTCCCTGGACAACACCGAGCCTGGAATGGATTTCTAATCTTTTCTAATGCACTGTAGGTATGAACCATACAGTCCTACGAGCCGCCACCGACCTGTGCGTTAAGTGTACAACAAGCCACATTATTTTTCCAAATTCTGGATAGTCTCAGAGATAGTCTCAGAGCGAGATAGTCTCAGAGGAAGACCGATACGGTTACGCTCCCATCGATGCCTGACTATCTGACTACCCCCGTCAGCGTGGGGTTCAAAGGCTGGGATATATATCCACATATCAGCAGTTTATTGATTCTTGAAACTCGGTGTGGTCAAGGGAAGATTGTTCGATGACTCAAATCGCCAAATCCGGTGCCTTGGGATTAAGTATCAGGCTGCAAAGGGTCATTTAACCATACACCACACATACCCATAAGATGATACCCATGGAGGGATCTGCCAGCGAGGGAAGTGAGGGTCCGCTGTCCAACAATATGAGAAAAACAAGATAAGAGAGTCTGATTATGTCTGCTTTGTAAGGACCCTGGAAAGCCCCGATATACCCTCCTAATGGAAATCCCGAAATTTTCCCCTCCTACCTACACAAATTTCGCCGGTTTTCACAAAAAAAACTCGGATTCCTACCTGTTGACAAAGGACCATTTTTTTTTTCGGAGAAAGGTCCCAATATTCCTTCCATCTGCATAAGGACCCTCAAAATCTGTGTTTTTGGGCGTTTCAGAGCAATTAGACATCTTGATTTTTTTTCCGGAAAAACTTGTATATTTTTTTGGGAATTTGGTAGAAGAATCACAAGAGTTGAAGTTGTTGAGAGAGAAATAGACTAGTGAGTAGTATAGCTATGTAGTGTTATGTAGTTGAGTTTTAAAAAAAACGAGTAATTCAATTCCTGGCCAGCCACTGGAGGGACTGTGTTTCCAGTTCCTGGCCAGCCACTGCAGTCGGTCCACTGCTGTAACAGGTAAAAACATCAAAGTGAATCTCTACACATGAGGGAGATCAGGGTCTGAGAATTCAATATCAAGAAGTAGAAAAAGAGCAGTCAAACGTTTCAGAAAAGGGACTAAAGAGACTGGTATTTTTTTGAATTTGGGAGAGATGAAGCGAAACAACTTGAAGAAATAACACAAAATCAAATCTCTAGATAAGGTGGAGAGAAATAAAAACCAAGTTAGATATTACAATTCAAGTATAGCTTATTTTTTTCTAGCTTTAGCGTGTTCAACAGCAAGTTGTTCGAGAATTGCCTTGATGTACTGTTTCTGGCTCATAGCCTTTAACATAGCACGATAAGCTTGAGGAATCCATATGGTGTTAGCCTTGGGTTCAGTAATATTCATTGATGAGGTGGGGGGAAACACATAGTGAATATCTGCTATATCAAGATGCGAGAATATGAGGCGATTTGGAAAGTTTTCTTCAAAACTACACGCTCCAGGATTCCCTTTATACATGTAAAGCTGGGTAGATGCATATGAGAGCTTAGATCGAGTGGACGATTTGGTGATCCACTCGTGCTTACCATTCTGGTAAATGTAGAGAGCACAGATCTTACCCAAAAAAAGCATCTAAAACGAATCAAGAGTACATTAAATGATCAGAGTCGGCAGCTTCATATTTGAAACAGGGGATGACATACATTGTTTTTTATAACCACAACAAACTTGTTTACTTCAAGTGGATTGTCTTCTGATACATTGCCACTTGTATAAAGTGTTTGTGTTGCGATGTCGAGAGTTGTTGATGTATTTTTTGCAATCCAATTGAGGTCAAGCTTTACATGAATGTTCCATCGATGTAAGCGATCCAGAGCCTTGTCCATCTGCTCAGAGTTTTTCAGCATGATGGCTACCAATTTACTACATGTCCGAGGGTCCAATTTGGTGGCTCCATTTGCATTGGCGTGATCAGAAGCCACAGGATCCTGGTGGTTGTTTTTTTTCTTTCGTTCATTACCTTTTCCTTTTGCTACGCGAGATATAGTAATTGTGTCTAATATCAACGAAAACTATCAAGATCAAACAAAAAAAATGTTGTGATCGAGCAGAATCAAGCTGTTTCAGCAACTTTCAGGCCATTTCAAATGTTTGGACTCGGTTGAAACTGGTTGAAACAACCTTCTTGCTGACCCATGCCAGACTGTCAGACATCTCGATTTCAATGACCATCAACTGTCATAATATGACATTTTTCCACACCCTTTTACATAAAAATGTGCAAAAAATTGTCTTACCTGAGCTTCGAACTCAATACTATCATGATTGGTATCTATACACAATAACATTGGGTTTCATTGTGACTCGATGATCATTGCTACTCACCTTATGTATTGAAGTGGGTAGCCTGGTGGCCCTGAGAACCCTCTTTCCTACCTAATGTGTAAGAAACCTATTTTTTTTTTCCACACTTTTTGACATATTCCTACATACAAAATAAGGCTCCTGTGTGACTTTTTTTTTTCAAATTTTTAGAATTCCTACACAGAACATAAGGACCATTTTTACCCAAAAAGGCCAATTCCTACATACCCAATTAGGCGGGTATATAGGGGCTTTCCAGGGTCCTGTTATATGGAACTAAGCAGGGAGCACGGTGTTGGTGGAAACATTTTGAAAAAATTCTGAAGAAGTTGGGATTTAGACCTAGTCAGTTTGATCAATCCTTATACGTCTGTTGTAGGGGAGATGAGGTGTGTATAGTGTGGGTACATGTTGATGATGGTGCTGTAACGGGTAGTAGTTTGGAATTGTTGAGGGAGTTGGGGAAAGAATTAGAAAAAGATTTGAAAATTAGATGGTCAGAAAAACTCGATTGCATTATTGGTATTGATGTGAATAGATTAGAAGACGGCTCTTTTGAATTATCGCAACCCGGTTTAACAAACAAGATTGTTTGTGAATTCTTGGAGATTGAAGGTAAATTGACTACACCTCTTAATTCTTCAAACCTACCAACCTCGCCAAAAGACGATGAAGATGAAATCGACAAGACACGATATTTATCGGTGATTGGATGCCTTAATTATTTAGCTGTTGCTACAAGACCGGATTTAACTTATGCTACGAACTTTCTAGCAAGGTACTCGGCGAGACCAACTAAGCAACACTGGGATGCGGTTCAAGGGGTACTGAAGTATTTGAAGGGGAGTGGATGTGTGAAGTTGAAGCTGAAGCCGCTGAAAGGGGAGGTGAAGATAGGTTTGCATACGTACGTGGATGCTAATTGGGGTGGGGAGTATGCAAGATCGGTGCATGGTTTCGTTACCTTTTTCATGGGTTGTCCTTTAGCCTGGACATCGAAAAGGCAAGGGTGTGTGGCGACTTCGACGTGTCACGCTGAATACATGGCACTTGGAACGGCTGCAAGAGACGCGGTGTGGTTAAGGAACTTAGTAGGTGATGTGCTTGGGGCAATGGGACCGGTTTCAATGCACTGTGATAATACATCAGCAATTCATGTGTCGAAGGATAATTCATCTAACAAAAGAACTCGACATACTGAAAGAGAATTCTATTATATTAATGAACAACTTTTTAAAGGAACAATCACTCTACACTGGGTTGAATCAAAACTTCAAAAAGCGGATATTCTCACGAAAGCACTGGGCCCATATCTTTTTGCAGCAGGAAAGAAGAATTTATGTTTAGAGGGATGATTTTTTTGTTTTTTTGAGAATTTGTATGGTGTTTATTTCAATTTTTTGTTTTCTGTTTACTTTGTTTTTTTCTTTGTGGTGGAGAAGGAGATGTGCTGTGTCTGGTCGTGGGGGGGGTGTTATGTGTACACGACTGCGCCACAGCAGGTCACGTGCTTGTACAGATAGTGTAGTCATGTCTTTCCGTTCTACTCCGACGGAGGCTTCCTTTCCTCAACCATTGTGGAAGCCGAAGTCCTGGAGTACGAACTAACGGATTCGTCGTCCTATCTATTATAGGTAATATATCATTAACCATTGTGGAAGCCGAAGTCCTGGAGTACGAACTAACGGATTCGTCGTCCTATCTATTATAACCCTTTTCCACTGTAGTTGGGTAAAAGGTTATTCCTTTGGCCATGTTTTATTGACAGTGGTCAACCCTTCCAGGTTAGATTTTTCTGCCACTAGGTTCATGAAGCACCTTTCTGAGAGAGTCCATCATTGTCAAAGCCAGTTCAGCAACAGCTAAATGCGCAGATGAGAACGGTGGGATGAAACAGATTTGCAGGATTAAAATCAGCCAAAGCAAATGTACACCTCAATGTGTGGTCTTGGTGCTTGAAACCTGCTGGAGGTAAGGGAGAAAGTGAGTTATCTCATTGCTAAAATTTGCTTCATGTTTTTCTGGTTCTGTTCTGGGGAGAAAATTCAGGATAGAAAAAGCAAAGCCATGAGCAGGAAATAAGAAGATCAGAGACCAGGTGTCTGGGTTTATAGTTGTCAAGGGTATTGGCAGAGTCTACAGATAACTCTGTTCTTTCCAACATGTGTCATACTCTGCCCTACCCCATACAAATGCAGGGGAATCTACAGTTGTCTCTACTCTCTCTGCAGGGCATACAAAATGTGGGGCCATTTTTTGGCCCTAAGAGGTTTATGCTTGTAATATGCTCTCTACATTGGTGTAACACCTTTTTTTGTGGCCAAAAAATCTATGCCCTCAGTGCCTGTAGGGGTATGTCTTGGAGCATGTTGTTGCAATATCTGCAAAAACCCATACATATGGATTTGCATCTTAGAGCATCCGCACTCGTGCGGTAAATCGGGTGCGGTAAGGTTAAATTTAACGCAACCGCGGGGTCTTTTCCACACCGGTGGAAAATTAGCCCCGCGGTAGTTAACTTTTGATCAATTTGCGTTAGCAAATCGGTAAATTTACCGATTGGCTAACGCATGCATTAACACACATCGCGACTAGCTGACAGCAACTTCGACTCCAAAAACGAGACTCAACCCGACCTCCAACACCAAAGTCAACCCACACCTCCTTTTCACCTTCCACATTCACCTTCCACACACGATGAAATCCAAGCCTCACAGTCACATGAACTAAATCAAGAACAATCAATGCTGATTCATGTTGTTTCAATCTTCAATTTTTGGTGTTTTTTAATTAAAATAGCTCGATCAGATATCTTCAACTTGACTTCATACCAATCAGATGAATATGTAGAATGTCAACATTCATATAGCATGTACAGTTCAAATGAAAGAAAATCAACATTCAAAGACTAATCATGGGGGACTTTCAAGATCAAGTGATACAAATCATTAAGAAAAGTTTGGATTTGTTCAGATCGTTCAGATCGTCAATTTTTCTTTTTTAACTTTGAATCTTTAATATTTTCACAAGATCATAATTGCATGTATTCAGACTCATTAAAGGCTTGATCAATGTAGTCAAGCGTTTGGTTTTTGAACTTGAATTGATCGATTGAGTTGCTGAACAAAGTCATGTTGACTTTGTCCTTTTAAATCAAAATTGCTGATCAGGTAGATGAACAAGTATTGGATCTATGTAGATGGAGAATGTGAAAGCAACTTCAGTCCTCCAAAGAAGCGGACAGTGGCTCTATCATATTAACACTTGTGATGAAAGCAGGTGATTAGTACTTGAAAAATCAAAATGTTACCTTACTGCATGACCCGTGTGGAGCACATGCATTATCTGTAAAGTTGTAACAGTTACAGCACTGCTAATGCAAACGAGTGGGGAATTTAGTCGAGTTAAGTAATTTTTTACTTAAAGTAGGGTTTGTTACCGTGCGTGATCAAGTTAACAACCGCAAACCAGTGCGGATGCTCTTAATAATTACCTATGGTAGAGAATTACATGTAACCTGAAAATGTGTGATAGAAAAAAGCCTACACCTAAATCTGACACTCAACCCCTCAAGTGCCAGAGGGAAGTTGAGGAAGTGTACATGAGGCTGCACCAGGTGTAGAAGGTGTATAGATGCATACCTTCACACACAGTGCAGTCCAGTAGTGATCCGCCCTGGTGATATGCCATTCAATTTATGGGTCAATGTGATGAGCCAGGTGACAGATGTCTGAGACATGCGGGGACATGTCACAGAGATGGAGAGTACTTTTGGATCTAGGCCCCTGCTGTGTGTGCTGTGCACAAGGAGACACAATAATTCCATGTCACCCTTGGGGCCAAATATTCACTACATTATGTAATACTCAGGTTGTGACCAGCCTGGTGCCAAGGGTGTCCTGGACTTTTTGTGCTAACCCCAGAAGCCTTCTGGTGTTCTGGAAAACACACAAAGTGGGGCATTCAAAGTTGCAGAACTCCAGAATGCCAGAACACACCAAAGAACAACCTTCTGGTGTTCCGGAAAAAGTTGTCTGGAAATTTCCCGAACAATATTTGTCTACCCTGACTGTTGATGGCAAACCAAAGAGACGATTTCAAAGTAGTGGTCGCAACATCAATAAGTGATCACGTGACTTCAATGCTCTTTTCAAATGTTGTGATGCTACCATTATTGTCCTCCTCAATCATTGAAAATGTGGTCGTGTTTTTCTGCAATGCTGCTGATGTAGCGGCGCGTGCTGAAAACTCTCTGCTATCAAAAACCTGTAATTTCCAATGCCCACCACTGTCCATTAATCACCTAAATTACCTTCATCAGTATTATGGACGTAAACATGCTCAACTTTGTAAAGCCCCATGCTGAATTTTCCCGCGAGCGCAAGGTCCGAAGCAGTGGCCGTGGGGCAGACTCCCGAGTGGAGTTCCGGTTTTCAACTTCAGCCGCTCAGATGCATCCGGATTCCGAAGACTTGGAATGTTTTGGCTGAGTATGAAGAAACGCAATGGCAAGCGCCAAGCGGCGTTCACAGGAATGTACATATGCGTATGGCGTGAGGAGAAATTCTTTATCCGACATCAATTTTTTCGTGGAACTGTGGAACAAGCCTGAACAAGCCCTCCCAGGTCAGGTCATCCCCGATAATCGCTCTCTCGAATTTTTAAGCAACTTGCATTAAGCGTGTCACATTTATCAACGTTCAAGTTATCAACCCAAGATTCCGTCTTTCGCCTATCTGAACAAAATGTTGAAGCTGTTCGCTACTATCGCCATTGCCATCTCATTGATATGTATGGTAAGAGCCGACGGCGATATCACATGTAATGTGGCTTGGGCCTCAAACGGATGTAAGTCTAGAGCCTTCCACACGCACAAAAAAACTCGCCGTCACTGATACCCGTATGCTCCACATCGCAATAGTGTGCCAAACGACGTTCCGGGTATGGACATGCCAGGATTGTAAGTCATCTTGCGTTGTGAGACGCTTTGCTATCGCTCCACCATCACCATACATTTGGGGATCGTACACCGAACACGATTTCTTATGATTACCACATAGGTCAAGTGGGCTACCTCAAGCCGAGTACAACCCTGGATGAATATAAAATAGATCGTAGGTCACATCTCGTCAATATTCTCGACCAATATTACTCAATTCCGGCTAGCCCCACAACTAGTCAATTTACAAATCCTTTTTCTGTGTATGATTAATTTGACCTGTTTGATAATATTTTCATTGCAGCCAACAATAGAAAGCAATTCTTGGTAAAGCCATACGTTATGATCTTGGACCCGGTAACGGGAATCAATAAGAAAAAATTTCTTAAGGCCCAGTCCGTGAGCCCCGACAAACTTTTATTTGGTGGTAAGTACAAGTCTTTTGACGCTCTGCGTTTGACCCTCACAAGCTTAACATTGATCATTGTCTTGATCTTTTGTCATGTTTTATTCAAACTTGACTAGCGTGCGGCTACTGCAAATGATGTTTTTTTCCATCCTCTGAGGTCGCTTTGGTTGTTGGAAGCTGCAATTTAGCCTATCTTGAAAGTCTTGTGTTGTCTTTGTTTCATTGAATGAAAGTTGTGTTATGATAATGCGAATATCTATATCTTCTAAGTCACAAAAAGTTAGCAAGTCTTTTTCCCAAAAGGTACAAAGTCACAATCACGCTTATCAAAACCCAGAAAATTCTCACGGTACTTGAGGATTATCAGTTGGCACACAGTATTTACATTACTAGGAAATGTGGTGAAGTCAGCAGGGGACATCCTACCCTCCAAATTTTCATCCATGGAAAACACACTTTTGGTGTATCTGCTTAAGCAAATTCTGATCAGAATCCAGATTATGTAGATGTCAAGATACAAAAGTCAAATAACCACCATTTTTCATTTTTCACAATGCAATTTCTCACCAGAATTTTTCCAACTATATAGCCACATCTGGTCTCCCTTTCTTGTTTTTGAACTATATCATCTTTTGATCCTCTTCTACCATTTTGTTATTGATTGTGTTTTTTAAACTATACAAGATGCTATCAATACTTATCAATACTGATGATCTGACTGTTATAATTTATTCTCAGATTTTGAAACTACCTTACACTTTACTGGTGCAGAAAAATTCTTTTTCCTCTCTGGTCTTTTGAGTCTGGACTTTGACAAATTGGGAGTGTAAGGATGATCAAAAGGCCAGCTGGGCAGAAGACTTTGTACACCCAAAGGGGCTTTTTAACCCATCAGCAATCTCCCAGCTTTTTCTTCACTTGCTTTGTTCTACAAATGCACTGAACTACACATCTTGGTACACCTTGCTCTCAGATTGCTGTACTACTGGAAGCTCTGTAATAGGATGACGCTCAAAAACTTCCTTGCATACAGTCTGACTGCGGGACTCTGGAATTGCAATACAATTCAACAAAATGACCTTTTCAAACCGTCACAGGTTTACAAACAAGAGTTGATAGTATGAGAAGTTGATGTAGAGTGGTTGATCTTAAATTCGCAGAATGCAAGTTATTCAATGACAGACCGATAAACAACAGGTTTATGCATCATTGAGGGCATTACGCTCATCCCAAACTTTTTTGATAGCAGGTCTCGCAGTCATCTTCTTGAACCACTTATCTAAAGCAGGATACTCCTTTGAAAAATCGGTTTCATCTAAAATCTTAATCGCACCATAATGCCATGGGATAAAAGACTGAGATAAACCCAAACCATCGTCAGTATTTGAGATAAGTAATCACGTTCTAATCGGAGTATGTTGCACTCACTAAATCTGCAATGGTGAGTTTTTCACCAACAAGCCATTCTTGTTTGCTTAAGACATTGTTCAAAACTCCTGAAACTCTTTTTACTTCATTCTGATATCTCTCAATTGCTGAAGGAATTCTGAAAGGATGGCCATAAACCAAACACCGAAAATTCAATAACTTGAAAGCCTTGAATGCTTTGGCTTCGGCTTTGATAAACACTTACTTTTCAGCATGGAAAGACTTAAACCAGGCAGCTTGACCGAAGTAAGCACCTTGGCCGGATGATTGGAAAAATAGCCATTGAAGTTGTTTGTACTAAAGTGAGAATGAAAATGATGGTATTAACAATCGAGCTGATAATCTCGTCTTCTTTTCGACAAGTACAGATTGACAGTCAAGAATTATTTTACCTTCTCTTCTGGTTTGCTGACAGTAAATTTTCCTTCCTTGTCATAGGTGTAAGCAAGATACTCGAGGATAGCATTGCTCTCCCACAGAGTGAAATCAGAATTCCTGTTTCAGAGAATATGATCAGCGAGTAGTTGAAAGATCTGGTAATCAAGAAAATATTATATACTTGTGGTCGATAATGGTAGGGATTCGACTGGAGACAAGCCGGAAAGACAAAAAGGCTCGTGAAACATCAGAGAAATGCTATAACAGCTGATTCTTTTCTTGTATTCTCTAAGACTATACGCACCCATTTGGATTGAGCTTTGTGTGTTCCTCCGACTTCTGCTCTCCTTTTTTGAAGTCAAAGTAAATAGTCTCATAAGAGAGACCAAGTTCTTCGAGTAAGAAAGCTACCTGCCATACCACATAAATTTTGACCCTCATAAGCTGACAAGGTATTTCAGAGCTTCAGATGTTGAAAGCCAAATGCATACCTTCCATCCATTTGGACCACCCTTCGAATACATCAATCATCAGCATCTTTCAGAATCACATATTGTATTGCAAAAGGATATAAATGTCGGAATGAGAAAAGTTTCCTCACTTTGTGACTGTAAAGTGTGAATTGTTTCCCGTGAGACATTTTATTGAAAAAGTGTAAGCTATTTGATTGTTGGCTTGATTGGTAGGACGATGTGATGATTTTATAGTCCAGAGAATACAAGATTGCTAGATAAGTTCGATCAATGATGTCATAGTTTCAATCAGTCATGAGTCATGACTAATTTGAGTGAGTAATGGCTTAGTCGTTGATTACTAAGCACTTCTCATAGTAAAGTTCTCGAATGGAATCACTTGAATGAAGAAATTTAAAATCTGATTCAGGAATGAAGATAAAGTGCTAAATGGTAAAATCATCAATAGTAAGTAGTCATGAAGGATGAACGGGAAAGGTTAGGTAGAATCCCTCGCTGAGTAACAAAACTGACAATTACCTTTGAGCTCTACTTTCCAATCGACCCTCTAACGACTTCGGTTCTTGACTTTCTCTATCAAGATTGGCATCTTATCACGCGCATTTTTGCAGATATTAGTCTTCTTTGTTATGGTCTCAGTATGGATGAGTATGCAAGGGTCTAAGGGGGTTGCTGAGCACTGATAGCCTTACTTTGACCCCAATTATGTAGATGTATCAGACAAGGGATTCTCGATTTGTGATTCGAAAGCTATTGTATTTTTTCTCATGCTGCTCAATATCATCGCCTAGGGAGTCTCGGTAGCTTGAACATGCTACTCTATACATTTGACGGAGAATTTGGTTTTGGAAAAACCAACTGGAAGAGCAATCGAAGTGCTTGTTTTCCTTGACACAGCGGATCTCACATGTCGCCAACAGCCACTTTAATTTGTTCACCTCCAATCCAGAAAACCTCTGCGGTTTGACAGGAGTGTTAAAAATTTAAATCCAAGCCTACCAATAGTAAATGTGTCCAATGACAAGTCACCGGAACGTCGAATTCGACAAAGCAGTCGTGAATTGGGCGATGTCAACAGAAGTCGAAGAAGTCGGATTACAAAAAATGATTCGTGGTCATGTGGCTTTCTTAAAGCCAACATGAATTGCCTTGTCTCTCTCAACAAAGTGAGAATTATCGCTAGAGCCTTGGAGTACATAACAGGTATGCAAAATTGTAATTGGCCATGTAGATATACAATCAATAAAGAAGTTGAGAAACAATGATAGAGATCATTTTTATCTTATGTAAGAGGAATCGAATGGCTGTCTGACCCTGAACTGTCCGAGTTAGAGATTGAAAAAGAAGGCAAGTCAGCGACCTTATACAAATAGACCCCTTCTAACTAAGGAGCCTCATAACATACCTTGAGGATCGGTTCGATATGATCATATCATGGTGAGCGCAACTTTCTAAGGACCTTTGCATCATGAGTGGCGAATTTCGGACCAATCTGATGAGAAGTCTCATGGTATTCCATCGTCTGGAATTTTGCTGCGAGGTGAGGATCCCCCATCGGCATACCCTTGATCCCTTCACTGATCAGGACCATCAGGAAGGTCAAGAGTAACGCACCTAGCTTTCGAATACAATACATGCTAAAATGGAATGTTCTTCACATGTCAGTGACGGACACCTGGTCTGGTAGGGGGTAGGTTCTTGTCGTCTTCCCGAACTCACTTGGGTAAATGAGAGTGGAGGTATGAAAATTATGATACTGCCTGGTTGGTCAGTTCGAAAATATTGCTGGGATCGAGTACAATCGCAAACTATGGAAAAAAGAAAGCAAGGAAAGGGGACATCAATTGAGAGCTAACACACACTTCATAAGCTTTGGATGAATACTAGATAGCCTACCAGAAAATCAAAATCCTGAAGACGAAAATGTATGTGGGAACGGCGCAGGGAAGGTGACCCACGGAGATGCAGCCATATTTATATTCTTCATCGTCGATTTGTTTACCCAAAGTTTCAAAACTTGCCTTTGATCATCAGGCTTAAAGCTGAGGGGCGCATTCGCTACTGGTGAAAACCGCAGAGCGGATAATATGCAAACAGATCCAAATCGATCGTATCCTGACTTGACGGATGAAACATCCCGTCCATTATCTTCGATCGCATGCTATCTGCTCCTAACTCTGAAAAACTCCAGACCTGTCCACAAGCTCCTCGGTAGATTTCACGATCAGGCACGCTCATCCAAGAGGAAAATCTGGCTACAGAATGTCAGACAGTGAATCGTGAAAAGACAGACAGACAGTGGATGGTGGATATCATGCCTTCGTCTATCTTTGGAGAATGTTACACACAATTTCTCCAATAATTCGCTCCTTCATCCTTCTCGCCTGAATTGTCTCCGATCATAGACTCGATATGCTTTATGAGCTCTACGCATGAGAAATGGTCCGTTTCACGTGATGGTAAGAGTTGGAAGTGTTTGTGACATGGACTCACCAAGAACTACATGGTCCCAGTCGATGCCATAAAGCTTGACACGGATGTGGCGCCAAATTGCCCGAGTTTTGAGGCATGTGAATCTGGTCAAGCTTTTTGAAATCGACTGTATCTTTGAAATTCAACAGACTCATCTGATCCGGCTCACTTCTCACTTCACTAGGAAAAGTTTTAAAGGACTACATAATTTGGTAAACTTGGAAGTCCATTTAGATCTGTCAAAAACTGTTGCATTTCTTACCGCGACATGAATTCGTATTCTGATGAACTTCTGTCTCAAGAAACGAGCGACCCTTGTTGACTTTGCTTCTTTGTATGAAAATTGAAGTCGAGTTGAGTTAAAGATTGGTTTAAACCTGAAGGATCATATCCAAGACCACCTCTGCCAAACTTGAGGCATTGGCAGAGCATGTAGGACCCCGGAGAGCTCCTATTGAGGCACACAATGTAAAAATCTTTCTTACACTACATACCCTTAACTGAAGTTTGAATTCATAAAGGGGAGGGGGAATTTTACACCGCCTCCTTTACACCGAATCATCATGTGTAAAAGCAAGTCAGTGTAAAATTCCAAAAGAAGCGGGGGTTCTTAGATTTTTACACCTCTTTCGAAATTTTTATTTCGGTGTTAAAAAAGACGAGTGTAAAATATTCAAGTGAAAAAATCATGTGGCCGGTGGTGAGGTTGAATTTTACATTGAAATATTTACACATGTTACGGCGGTGTAAAAATCTCGGTGTAAATTTCAAGTCTACACATGCAAAATACAATTTTGCACGTCTCATCTTTACACCGGGAATGCCTGTGTAAGCAGGCCATGTGCAAAAATCCAATTTTGGCACGCCTGAATTGATTTTTGCACAGAATATGTTACGCAGACTTGAGAAAAAAAACATGCGAGATAAACGCACAAGACCCCATGTTTTGGGTTTATAGTCGACACACAGGGAGACAGGAAATAAAAGGCAGTTCTTTCTTGTTTGTTTGTTTCAAATCAAACTACTCCCTCAACTTCTTAAGCCGCTCGCAGTTCTCCGCTGCAGCCTGGCGCCCCTTTGCAGCTGCAGCTTTGCGCTTATCAGCGGTAGCCTTGCGCTTATCCGCTGTCGCCTTTCGTTTAGCCGCTGAAGAGCTGTCATCCGCTTGCGAGGCATCAGCCTTCAATGTAGCATTGCGCGTGCGCTTGCTCCCTGTATGCAGCACACACAGATGAGGTCAGTGTCCTACAGTACTGCAAAGAACAAAGAGAGTGTAGTGAAGGAAGGCAACTTACGTGGTTGGACGTCTGTGGAGGCTACTGGTGGTGAAAGGGCCTCCTCTTCAATTGACGGATTCAACTTTGGTATGGCCAACTTGATCTTCAATTTGACAGGGTCCAAAGGGGTCTTGATTTCCTCAGAAGGGTGATGAGATAGCTCATCAACCTCAACGTCGGCCTCTTCGGTTCCTATGACATCCACATCATCCAGAGGTACGATATTGCGGTAGAGAAGCTGGTCATTTTTGTTCTGAGGTTCATCACAGTTGAGCCTGTCATAGAGAACGTCGTCGTTTTCCTTTAAGAATCCTTCATCTGCATCTGTGTCATGGCGAACTGGCAAAGAAGCCTCTTCGGGCAAGGTAGTGGTCAAAACGGTGTCGTCAGTTTCTTCAAGAGAAGGAAGGCCTCCTCCAAAAGGCATTGTGAAAGGTATTGAGAGGTGTCGGTCTGGAAACTTCTTCATCATGTCCAGAAGGGCATGTTTGATCTTGACAGTTTCCGCTTCGAAAGGGACCCGCGTGTAACACGTCCAGCTGGTGTTAGCAATACAACCAGAAAGGCTGTCTACGTCGCGGGATATGAGCTGGGAAAATCCTCCATTCTTGAGCTCGTCATAATGCCATACGCCCAAGACACCTTCTACTGATCGCACCACTTGGCACCAATAATGGTTACCACCCCAGAAACCACGGGTGACCATCTGATATTTGGCTTCACCTATATCTAGACGCGCTGGCCAGTTGGTGTCTCCCATGTAACGTCCTCGTTCCTTGGAATCTAACGCCATGACGTTGTCCATGAGAAGATGCAAAGGTAAGGATGTATCTTCAATCTTCATACGTTGATCATACAACGTCGGGTCCTCTTCCTCGTGGCCTTTTTCCTTGATTGGATGACATCCACGGCATACAAGGCCAGGTTCGGTTAGCACACCTTCAGAGAATAAATCATGTAGCAAAATGTCCAGTTGACCATAAGCAACGCCAGACTCCCTGAACATTGAGGGGAAAAGCCGGAAACCACCTAAAGATCTGGTTGTAGCTCGGTTGTGTTTGTCGTTGCGATGACATATTAATGTCTTAGTCACATTGATAGCAAAAAGAGGCCTGGTGTGCGGGTGGTCTACTATCATGTCCATGAAACCATCGGCAGAACAAAACTTGTCGGACGTGTATGACTCGGGTTTGAGAGCTTGGATGGCCTTGTGAATAATGTTCTGCCCGCGTTTCAATAAACTCCCGAGGTGTTTGCCTTCATTCAATTCGCCATCGCAACGTCCGGTGAAATGTCAAATGATGATTGTGGGCAAAGAGGTCCCATTGACGTGCGTGTGGGCACTCCAAAGTGGACCCCACAGAGCGTAGAGGGATTCCAGCGTGGCAGTCTGCCAGCATCGATTGAGCGTGCCGATGGTGGTGCCTGACGTATAAGACTTGTAGGTTGTCAAAGCACTTCGATTGATGTTCAAAGAACCTCGAGGACGTCCTGGACCTTTCTTCTTGGAGGGTTTGCCGGATTTAGCATCGGCACCGTCAAGCAGTTCTTTGGTGGTGTCCGGTGCACGGCCGTTGTTTGCAACGTATCGGCGTTTGGTGGGTTTGGCCATGCCTAAAGACGTAACGATGTCTTGCCAATTTTGATTGCTGGAACCGTAAGTCACCAAGATTCCCTTGCATCTGGCCTCGTAGTCACGCTCTAGACTCGAAACAAATGCAAATAGTTGGATCATCCCCGCGATGATCCCACACTTGCCATCACTAACACCAACATTGGACAAAATGATTAAATGTTAGACTCGTTACGATTATATGGAGAATGCTTTGACAAATACCTACCAGAGCATGTAGTAGACCCGGTGTAAGGATTCTTGCGCATTGGTCATCTTCGGTAAATCAGCGCGCCGGCGTGGTTGAGCTTGTTCTTCGTCATCTGATTCTTCTTCAGGTAATGGCGGGTCATCTTCAGGAATCCGCTTCCGCGCCTGGAAGAGCATGGCTTGGACATCCGCCGCATACCGCCAGTCAATCCATTTTTTTGCCAAAGGAAATAATCTTCGCAAATCTTTGAATCTTTGTTCAAGATTGGGACGTCCAGGTTCATCCGGGAGAAGAAGCTCTTGGCACAGTGTCTTCCAAGTACCCTGCGTGTCAAAGGTACATGAAACACGTATATTAATTAGATGAATTAAATGAAAACAATGTGACAGTTAATCAAAGTCCAAAGATTGGGAACTGACCACCATATTAACCTTCACAATTTTGTGATTTTTCAAGATGTGAGTGACCGCCTGTTGATAATGCTGTTCGCAGCCGTGCAACTTAGAAAAGGCGATTTTACAATCATGTACCTTGAATACCTCCATGTATGCATCTATGAATCCGTTTTTCTGAGCGGAAGAAAAATCAACAACCTGTTCGACCAGGCGTCTCTTTTCTCTGTCTGATAAGTCAGTCTTCTGGATTTGTTTGAAGAGAGTGGCAAAATGAGTTTTGTAGTGTAAGGTAGACAGTCCTCCGAGCCACGACAGTAGGATCGGTATCCAGCGCTGGAGCTTCTTGTTGTACATCGACGTGGTTAATAGGTAACCGTTAAGGAAAAATTTGTATGTGACATCGGAGAGGAGGCCTCCAGAGTAGGCCTCCCCGTCTTCTTGTTTGAGTACTAGCATTTCGGCCATCCACTTCGTTTGGAAGGTAAAATGGTCATCGTCGTCCATTGCAACCGACACAATTTTCATTCCTTTCCTGTTGGAGGAAAACGAGGATAGATCAGCCATGTTAGCCACGTCAAAAGGTTGAAGGGAATGGAATACGAAATGATACGAAAATATATAAGACTACGAAATAAAATCATCAATACTGACCTGGACCAATGTTTGATCTGTGTATACCACCTGTCACCTCCTTCCTTGTCATTCTTGTCGTCCATCAACCCGTGTTTGGCGAGAATTTCACGGCGCAAATAGCCGAGGCGGTCGGTATGTCCAAAAGATGAATGGATATCTGTTATTGAAGCAATAGGTTGGGTTCCAAGACGGGCACGTCCAACCTTTCAGAGAGCAAACGGCAAGAGTTAGTATCTGCTTCATGATCTTCTGTGAACATAAGAGTGTATTATTACATACCTTCATACCAAGTGGTCCCAGTTTCGGATCATTCAACACAGGCTCTTCCAGCTTTTCCTTCGCAAGAGGATCAGCCTTTTTGGGGTCAGGCCATCGGTGGGTGTGTTGTCCTTGGTGTCGCAACAAAACACCATTTTTCGACCGTGTTCTCGTCAACCCAACAGCAGGCATAACACGCCAAGTGATTCACAAGGCCAGGACATCCAGAGACAGTGCAATTGGGAAACCTACCCAATAACCAACGGAATCAACTTAGTTATTTGTCATATGATGATAAGTTTGAGATTGATTATAAGTTTGAGATGACGTACTTTGCGAGATATTTCTCTATTCCCTTGTGGCCGGTGGGAGGCGATCCCGCCAGTTGGCAGCCTTTCTCAGAGCAAATTAAAATCCCAAGGCAGTAATAACGTCTAATAGTCCACTCGTTGTTGTGTTCAGCCCGCATCGTGTGAGTCCATGCAATGGTCGCGATTCCCTTTTTAAAGTTAGTGATTTGATCCTCGGCATTCTTCACAAACATTGTTTCCCCGTTAGGATAAATGGGATATCCCTGTTCGTCAAGCTCACTCCCTTCGTCAATCCATGTGGCGAACTTCCGTTTGTTGAGGGGAAGCTGCAATTGCCGGCTTTTGACTGGGCCAACGTCTTCATCGTCAGTAGTTTCACTAACATGAGATATGTTGTTGACGTTTTCGAAAACATCTTGGGTATTGGTGACTAGTTCAGATTGGGCTGACATTGTGATTACGCTTGGAGATTTATGATATCGACTACGACTAGATTTTAATGCAGTAGTTTCTAAGGAACTTGATTGTAATGGATCCAAAGAAGATTCAGAGCAGTCTGAAGTCAAAATAATGGTAAATGGAGAGCTAGGAGTGGTAGTGAACAGATTTTCCAAAGTGATCTCGGGATTAGCTTCTGAGGTATGATGCGAAGACACATATGGGCACAAGTCCTCTTCTGCCTCTCCCGTATTTTCCAAGGGAGCGGCCGATGAAATAGGGCGGTTCAAGTCAAGATGTGCGAACGTCCTGACGCAGAGCCCCGATCGTGATTTTTAAAGTTCCTAGGTTGTTTAAATTCTGGATCGCGGTCGCGTGAACACTCTTAAAATTGAGCTTTATGACCTTGTCAAAGAAGGCACAACACCTTTTTGCACCTTTTTTTTTGTCCAGGCTCCTTTTGTTGTTTTTCTTTCATCAATTTTTTTTTCATTGGATGAGTAGGTCATGTTTGTAGCTCTCTTGTGCATGATGAACAGAAGTTCATTACCATTTCCCACATTTCTTTTTATTCCCTCACCGTCAATCCACATCTTTCCCACATCCACAAACCTCATCTTTCTCGATATCATGCCTTGGGTTTCCGAAAGGGTCACTGCCATACGGAGCCTCACTCACCTCTATCTCTTCGCCCAAATTACCTCAGACATACGTACCCCGGCGATAGCCGCCACTCCAGAAAACCCTACAGAGGGTGAAATGTCTTCCTGAACGACCCGGTCCTATTGAACTTGTACGACAACATCTTTGATATGGAACAACAATGGGGTGACTTTCTCGCTCTTGTCACCACCAGACGTTACCTTAATGAACGTATCAGAACCCTGCTACCGACTGCTTTTGACCTACGGGACATGTTGCGAAGCAGAAGAACGGACTTCCGACAGGCCATGCGAACGACACCTGAAGGCTTTCAGGCGTTACTCAATATGATTCAATCTCATGCGATATTTGTCTCTTCTAGCAACAATCCACAGCCACCTGTGGTGAAACAACTCGCCATAACTTTGGAACGTCTGGGAAGCAATGGAAACGGAGCATCTGTTGGCCGCTTTGCCCGCAACTACAAAGTTGGGCGCGGTTCGGTCATCAACTGCAGTCGTCGAGTCATTACAGCGATTTTAGAAGTAGGCGCCCACTATCTTTCTTGGCCAAACTCAAATAGACGAAAGGCCATCTCGCAAGTACTTGCGCGAGATGGCTTTCCGGGATGCGTTGGATTTGTTGACGGAACAACAATACCTCTATTCCAGCGCCCAGGTCGTGATGGAGAGGTTTTTTTCGACCGCAAACACCGCTACTCGCTCAACGTGCAGGTTGTCTGTGACGCGGACAGACGTATTACTTACGCTTACGCCGGGTGGCCTGGATCCTGTTGCAACAGCACAGTATATTCAAAGACGGAAATCTCTAACAACCCGGAAAAGTATTTTGACAAAGGTATACCGTTCTACCCTTCTTCCAATTGTTCTCTAGTGGTAGATTTACTGATCCAGTAAATGTGTAGATGAATATATCCTAGCAGATTCAGCTTACATTCCGTCACAAACTGTTGTGCCCTCCTACAAAGGACAGGCTGCCGAAATCGAAAGGAACAAATGCTTCAATTGGTGTGTAGCGAAATCTCGAGTTCGCAATGAACACTGCATAGGGATCCTCAAATCTTGCTGGGCGTCACTTCAGGGGTTAAGATTGGGTTTAAACAATCGAGAAGACATGTACCACATTCTGCGGTGGATTCACTGTTGCATGATATTGCATAACATGTTAGCCGATTTGGGGAACACTTGGGATGAAGACGAGTATGAAGTTATTATGAGGGATGCAGAAGCGGGGGTTCAGCAACCAGGAGCGGCCGAGCTGGACTTAGATCACATGGAAATAGGGAGGGTTAAACGTGAATTGGTTCGAGACCACGCAGTGGCCTATAACTGGCAGAGCGGTGGCCTCCCGATTGTACCCTGAAACGATACTGTTTCATTGGATTTCATTTCTCTCATTGATTCTTGTTCATTTATCTCATTCAATCTTCTGCTATGCTTTCTTTGATCTGTAGCTCGTGGTACTGCCAATTTTATTTATCTCCTCGTC